GAAAAAAGCTCATCATTGGATACCAACATGAAAATTGGAATTTATCTACTTCTTTTATGTGAAATCTGTTTTGAAATCAGCAAGGCTGACATCAAACCTAAATCTCCAAAGAAGGACAAGAGGCTGAATTTCTCAGGAAAAAATAAAAACCTCAGTATTTCTGAAGAATGGAATCAACATAAAAATGATTCTGAGCCTTTGCAAGAGGAAAGTTTTGAAGAGCTTACTCTTCACAATTTCACTGAAAAGACAGCAAATTTTGGATTTAATCTCTACCGAAAAATTGCAATGAAACTTGATAACAATATAATTATCTCTCCCCTTTCTGTATCAACCCTCATGGCTACATATTTGCTGGCAGCTGAAGGGGAAACACACAGACAAATAGCAAAAGCTCTAAACCTTCATCCTTTGGAGCATAGAGATCGCCATTATTTACCAGCACTGTTTAAGCAACTGAAAGATAACATCTCAATGAATGAAGAACTTCTCTTTGTGCAAGGTATTCTTTCTTTTATCCAAAAGGACTTTGTAGTCAGGGAAGATTTCTTCAACTTATCTAAGCAGTACTTTGATATGGAATTCCTGCGTGTAAACTTTCAAAATATCACACAAGCGAAGTTTGTTATAAATCAAAACATTAAACAAAGGACCAAAGGAAAAATATCAGAGCTTTTTGAAGAAGTTGACAGACATTCTAAACTGCTACTTTTGGACTACATTTTTTTCAAAGGTAACTATTGTTTTCATTCTGGAAAACTGCTATTTATTAGAATGAACAGAACTCTGACTTTACCAACATCAGGGGAAGCTTAAATTAATTAACATTTCCTGCTCTGCCTACATTTCTAAATAGATTTACTATCTTCTAATAAGTTTATTTAACAGGAAATTGTTTTTCATGATAGGGAACCACTATTCTTCTACGTTTTCTTCCACACAACAAAGAGTCATAAAGAACAAAAGGCCCTGTATCAATTCCATGAACAATCCTTCATGATTAAGTTTTAATTTTTTACTCACCACTGAAATGAAATCCTAATCATAACAGCTTGTTAAATACAAGGTACTGGGCATAAAAAACAATTGTCTGACTTTCCATAGTGCACAAGTTAATGAGAACAGAAATTGCTTCTCTATTCCAATCAAGAACCTTTTTCCCTGAGAGAAACCAGAGACAAAGGGCTCCCTGATGGTGACAGAGGCCCACATTTGACTGCAAACAGCTGTATGAATGCCAGAGGTACCAGGTTAGGTAAAAGCAATGCTGAAGAGCTAGACAGCAAAAGAGAAGAGAGGAATGCTGAGCAGAGAACCCATGCTTAAGCCTGCTTCAGTCCAAGGCACTCAGGAAAGTGGAAACCCCACTAAAATAAACATGTATGAGAACAAATTAAATTACCTTGCAGCCATAAATCTATTTATTCTCTTAGATTCAAAAGATTGCAGTTTATCCAATGCTGAGTTTACTTTCCCTTGCAGAAAACCAGAGAAAAGAGATAAATGGCTGTGATACAGTTTGAGTGAGAGTGCAGAAATCAGAATCAATTGCCTAAAAGAGGTCACATTCCAAAGCACCTTCTTAGACAATGCACTGCTGAATTCCCATTGAAGAGATCGTATAATTACTTAAAAACAGGATGTTGAACAGCTGGTAGAAATTTTCAGAAAAGATGGCATGTTAATAAAAGACAGATGCTCAGATGGCATTCTGAACTTGCTGGTTCTGAACACAGATGGGTTCTGAATTTGACTGGCAATTAAACCATCATAGAATAATATTTCCCTCCTTTCCCTACAACTGAAGCAGTTTATTTGGTGCATTTTCCTGCTGTAAAAATTTTTAAGAACATTCACTAAGTATACTGCAGTTATCATCCAGTTGTCCCAGACACAAATGACACCCACTTTAACTTGCTGCAGAAAGGATTCTACATTTTTTAAAAGGCTTCTGAAAATTTTGTTGAACCAGTCTGAATAATTATTTCATTTTTCTTTCTCCAGGAAAGTGGCTATATCCATTTAATTCAAAATTCACAGAAATTGAAACTTTCCACATAAACAAATATAGAAGTGTGCAAGTACCGATGATGTTCAAGTCAGATAAAGTAAATTCAATGTATGATGAGAATTTAAGGTGCAATGTGATAAAACTACCCTACAAAGGCAAAGCCTACATGCTAATTGTCATCCCAGAAAAGGGGGAAGATTATGTTTCACTTGAAGACCATTTGACAATGGAGCTTGTGGAATCCTGGCTTGCAAACATGAAGAGCAGGTACTGCTTTGACACACATTCAGCCCTCGTGTTTTTTATTTCCACTGTAGCAAAACAAAAAAGCAGAACAATGATTATCTGTTCTGAAAAAGCTTCAACTCTGAGGTGATAAGTCTATTGGTCATCTCAGTTAGAAACGCCTCTGAGGGCATTGCCAAATTTCGCCATACACCTTCTCTTTTGAAATTCTGCACAGCCAGGCAATTTGCATCATAAATGTCTGTATTAATACTTATGAAATATATATAAAAATGTGTACATTTATGGAACTTTACTTATCAATGAAAAGAGTAATGGATAAATTTGAGTATGAAAATGTAAAAACAAATTACTCCTATTAAATGTAACTCCTGAAGTGACAGGCCTCTCCAGTGGTCAATAACTGAAAGTGTCACCCCAGCATTAGGGCACTAGAAGTGCTCATGAAAGTGTATAAATACTGAGAAGAAAATGATTTCTAGCATCTTTGACATTCAACAAAGTAAAAAAGATATTCTGGCAGCCTAAATTCCAGCTGAGAATCTTTAACCTTTGCCTCTTGTTTTCACTGGTTGTGTAAAGCTTAATTCCACATCTTTCAGCAATAACTTACTATATATCTGAAGTTTTTTTTTTTTCTTTTTTTAAACAGAAATATGGATATTTCATTTCCAAAGTTCAAATTAGAACAAAAATATAAAATGAAGAAATGGCTTTATGCTCTTGGAATTAAAAATCTCTTTGCACGTACAGCAGATCTTAGTCATCTCACAGATCAAAAATACATAACAGTCTCCCAGGTAAGCCTACTAAAATTATTTGCTATTTGGATTGTAGTAACAGAGGGTCCATGTACTATGTCATACAGACCCACAATTAGGAAAGAACCTCACCTGACACGCATGTGGAATCTGCACATCCTAGACAGCATGCATCCCTCTATAGAAGTATACAGCTTGTCATAGAGAAACAGAACCTGAAAGCATCATCACAACACAATTGTATTCCAACCCGTACCAAATAGACTGCTTCATACACTGTAATTTATAAAGATCAATACTGTAAACAGGTAAGTTTAAGTCCCAAAAACTCTAAAACAACAAATACAGTTTTTCAAAACTGTGCTGGCCATGTCTTAAAAAACAACTGCAACAACAAAAAAGACTCACCTTTCTGACAAAACTGATCACAGAAAAAATAAACATCCAATGAATAAAATTGCAGTGATGTTCAGTTTCGAATAAACTTTTTAACATTTGTGAATTGCAATGGCAATTTGCAGCACTTTTCTCCTTCCCTTTTGATCTGTAACTATTCCTTGTTGTTTTCATCAGTTCACTTTGTGTTTCATCAGTTCACTTTGTGTTACCATGAAGTGATCTTGCTTGAAGAGTACTTGCTGACATTACAAGCAATATATGCATCACCTACAAAGTGCCAGTCATACTAGCTATCTTCATTAATTAAGGATAGTTAGCAGAGAGCTTGACACTAGCGAAGCCTTTCAACTACCTTGACATAAATCATTCCTAGAATTCCTGGACATCAATAATTCCTTGAGTCTGGGAGTTAGGAACGCACAAGTTGCCTAGGTCACCAATACAGACCCAAATAAAGGAGAAGTTCTCAGAGGTGCATGCAGGCTGAAAGAAAGAAAAGGGAAAAGAATTGGATCCTGCTGGGCTCTGTCTGCAGTCCTAAGACCAATCCAAGACCATAGTTCAGGGCTGTCCATATTTACTCTGTGCTAACAACTGTGAAAATTAGAAATACACAGGAGAAATACAAGACTGGTGCATTTGCCTAACCTCTCACAAAATCAACTGTGGATGACAATTCACAGCCAGCAATTAAGAATTTGCAAGAAATGAAATCACGCCTCCCACTTTTGTGAAAATTTTGTACAGTATCAAAGAGGAGCACTGTACAAATGCATCGGTTGTTTCACGCCACCAGCTTCAAGAACAAGATCTAGAAGTAAAGCCTCAGGATTGTGGAAAAGTGTAACGATCTGAACCCTAATTATTGCAGTCATGATGGCCACGCTGACTCCTGTTTCTGAAGAAGACAGCATATGTAGTACCAGTAACACACAGTGCTAGATTGCAGACCTACTTGTTGTAACCCTCAGGAGAGGCCAATTTCAATTGAATCCCTGGCATTTTGAAATTTATTCTTCATGTTTCCATTTATTTCTGTCATCTATTTTATCTCTGCACTGCATTTCAGGTTGTCCAAAAGGCAGTCATTGAAGTGGATGAAAAAGGAACTGAGGCTGCAGCAGCTACTGGGTCTGAAATAATTGCTTTCTCAGCACCTCCTGTCATTAAAGTGGACCGACCATTTCTTTTTATGATTTTTGAAGAAACTTTTAAAACTTTACTTTTCATTGGCAGGGTAGTTGATCCAACAGAAATGTGAATAAAAGTAATGGTTTTTATTGTGATATGTAAGAGGCTTTATTTTTATTTTCTTTAAACTATTATTTACATTAGAATAAAAGGCAAAGTATGAAAACGTGAAAACCTGTTTTGTCTCTCCACCTAGAAGTAGGTCATCCTAGTAATATTTCAATGTCTATGTGACAAGATCAATGCATGAGTATATAAAATGACAAAAGTATTTCTTGCAAAAGCTATCAGGCAAATTAGAGAGAAACAAACAAAACGTACAGAACTAAACTTTCAAAATTCAAAATTTTAATGACAAATCTGAATGAAAATCAAAGATTCATATGCCAAGGTATTCAGAAAGATCATTCCCAAGCACTGCAGCTTGATATTTCTTAGTGCTATCTTCTGTTGTACTGAAGCGTAAGAGCCTTACATTGGTGTCAGCCATTTTTTGCCACTTATAACAACAGAAGCAGGAACAAGCCTGCTTCTTAAAAAGGATTTACAGCCCCTGTACAGAGATCTTTATTTCTATAGAAATCGTCTATCATGAAGTCTACATTGTCCAGGAGACTGACTTCTTCCAAAACGTTTCAAATTACTTCATGATGTGCCTGCTTTTAAAATATTCTTTCTCCAAAAGACAAAATAATTCCCAATATTATTCAGGTATTCATAACACTAATCTGGATCTCTCCTAAAAGCAGAATTTCTGTGTGTATTATCGTCTAGATATTAGAGAGAATGAGGATGTGGCACTCTACACTTAAATGAAGACAGACTTTGGTAGGAAAAAACATACCTCCACAAAACTGGAATAAAACTGTTCACATAGCTTGAAAACACCTTTTGGATTTCAGGATCAAATATTTCTGAAAACCATTGCAAATCACCTTACTCAAGTAGTGCAGTGACTCCAACAGAGCATTTACAGAAAGAACAGCCAGATCATGAATATTTAGTACATTTTAATTGAGTCCTATGTATAACTTTGAAACAATGCAAAAAAAAAAAGCTACTCCTAACTATGTAACTAAATGACCTAAGCTTACATATTTCCCAAAAAAAGCTGTCCAAATCGGTACAAAAGAGTTTGGTGCAGATGACAGGGTAAAAACGGGGTAAAGCTGGCAAACAGCTCTAAAAATAAAAACTCAGAAACAATTAGTTGTCCATTTACAGTAACTCAGACATTACTGTGAGCCACTCACAAAAGGAATTGCAGAGGAGACCCTGGTACCTGATTGCACTAATAAGGCATATCTAATCTAACTGCACACAGCGGGATGTATGTACCCAGAAATAAGAATCACTGCTTCCTGCCTCAGAACAATTAGCAGAATGAATGCTGCTATAGTCATCACTATACAGCTGAGCTGTGCTGGTGTTGTGAGCTGCAGGTAAAACAATGCTGCAGACTGGGAAGTACTGGTGACATGCAACTGAAGTAACACAGGAAGGGCTGATGGAAGGATCCACAGGACACCAGGAGTACTATATAAGGAAGACACACAGTCCAAAAAAAAGTCTTAAAAGAGCATTGAAATACTACACAGTGGGATTTTAATATGTGGTGGGGTTATTGAGTGGAGAATTAAATAAAGTTGTTAAAAAATGACAGACAAATGACAGTAACAAGAAATAGATGACAGACAAAGATTGTCATCTATTGTACTTATATATATATACTTATACATATAGAGGGGAGAAATAGCTTGGGTTCAAATCTAGGAAGTCACTAACTGTTCTGATGTGTTTAATAAAGGTATATGAGTGCCAAACAGTTACAGACCCTGTTCTACAGCTGAGTACTGCTGATTTGTTTGTTATCAGAAGAGAAACTGAGAACACTGAGCAGTCTCTGGTGCCCAAGGATCACAGCTGTTGAGGCAACAAGCCCTGGGAAAGTGTCTGTTTGCATCAGGGAAACAGAAGCCAAACCTGAGAAGAGCCAGCACATCTGCATCACCGAATGTCAAAAACATCACCATACTTGAGGCAGCTTTTAAAGGAATCTGATTAGCAGGAGCCTACATCAAGCTGCAGCACAAACTGAAACTTGAGTTTTTCCACAGAATCCAAACCATGTTTATGACCAGAAAAAGAGAAAACACTTAAATCCAACTGTGGACTAAGAGGCTGAAGTATTTAGATAATAAAACGCTGCTAAATAAAGCGTCTTGCACTTCACCCAGGACAGCATAAATCTAGCATTATTACTATGTTAAATAAATATTTTCCATAGGTAAATGCTTTTATTTTAGTTATAAAAGATGCCCTGAGAAAAAATATTTATTTCAAGACCATGCATGTACAGCATTGTCCTAGTTTTATTTTGAATAAACTCATCATTCATATTGTTACATTATAAAAAGTAACCACACACGCATATGCATTCACAAATTGGATCATCTTTATCATACACCAACAGAGTTAAAAAAGCAGTTATTTCTTATATTAATATATTTATGTTGCTTCCATTTTGAAATAGAGAAGCTGACAATAGCTTCATATGCTCTCTCAAGTATTAACGTAAATAGAACTTTTTAAAATAGAATTGAATGTTTTTCCACAGACATATTTTGATAGAAACATTAGCATTAATGCAGATGACATCACTGAAGCATGATTGCTTGCAATAACAGCTAATTAAAAACTAGATTCATCATTATAAATTATTCAAGTGAAAATACAATTTGAAATACTAAAAATTAAAGCAAGTATTTATACAACAAAACTTATGAAATAAAACTTTTTTTAAATATCATCTGGAGACATCTCCTTTTAGACTGCTACAAAACTTACACAGAATTTCTATGAACTTTACTTTGTACGTGTAAAAAACTTTACCTTCAAAATCACAGTACAATGCTACTGAAGTTTGTGTTTTATCTATATAAAACTGATCAATGGGTCTGGATTTTGATCTTAAATTAGGTTTGAAAGATCTTTAAGATGCAGGATTGCTTTTTCATATTCATGACAATTCCTTCTATTTCTTGAATAAAATATGGATGTTAAGAATTAATAAAATTGTGAATTGATCTGATTAAGTAATGGATATGTGCATTCTAAATCCAAGAATTTGAACTACAAAGGCATAACTGAAGAAATCAAAATCCTCTCTTTAGCTGCAGCAGTGAAAAGCACATAGCTGAAATTGCATTTCATTACATTTCACTACAACATTAGAAGTCTGCAACCATTACATCACTTATTTTACAACTTGGGATTTTGTTTAAACGTTAAAAGGTCTTAACACTGCAAGATGCGTTTGGTCACCCCAGGCATTACAGTCCCATGTGCTGCTCCAGCGCTATCACTTGAAATTTCTGCTTCCAGCAGTCACCCATTCTCTTCTTAACCCGTCAGAAGATCTAGGAGTTTGACTTTCTGTTTTTTCTTCAAGCAAAAGAAAAAACACAATAAGTTGTTGCTATATTATAAAGTGAAGCAATACATGTTATTGTGTATTTTATTATAACCCATCTGTGGAAGAACTATGTAATCATATGCTCAACTTCCTAAAGCAATTATGACTGTGTGAAAGACATCACTTAAGGATATTTATGCTTAAAATTGTTATGCACCACTGTGGATGTCTTACAGATGAGTTGTAGAAATCTAATAAAATACTGATATTAGTTTATCATTAAGCAATTTATTTCAGTGCAATAATAAATCTACTCCCACCTTTTAAAGGATGGAAAATCCATACTTCTCATTCTTGAAGTTAATTTCCACTGTTTTAATTGCAAGATTAATAAAATCCAAAGACTTACTGCATGTCTATAGACAAGATGCAAAATGATACTTATAAAGCTGGATATTTTTATTGGTAAATCTATAAAGTACTGAAAAATACCAGCTTTTACCAAATGTATATTGAAATCAGTCCTATAACAGTATTACAATTTCAAGCAGAATATCAGTTCTCATTCATCAATGAAAATATTTGAAAGAAAACAGTAAAGCAAAGCAGTACAACAACAAGAGATTAGAATTCTTCATGGACCTTGGTGCTTGCAAATCTTCTCAATTTCTGCTCCGAAACGACTTGTGTTCTAACTGGACACTCCTTAACAGAAAGTGAAATCAGTACATCCTGATTGCAAATTGGCTTACATAAGGTCTCCTGTGGGATAAAATACTCAACCAATGTTCTTTATGACTCTTTCTATTCCATAAGGTGCTTAATTCAGGCACTCATCTCTTCTGTGGCTACACCACTATTGTGTACAGGTATGTCCTTCAGCATAATTCTTTCATTTTCTGTTGCCTGCGTATTACTAAAGGTCTGGCAAACAACACCAAATCTAATGGCCATTTTCCTGCTACCTGCCTGTGAACACTAGAGCAGGCCTTATTAAATTTTTTTTCTTCCAATTATACTATTTTTAAAGAAGAGGGAACATATTAATCTGTATACAATTCTCTGAAGTAGAAGTAATATGGAAAGTAAAGACCTCAATTCTGCACCAAATTAACTTTGCATTTTGAAAAGTTCCTAAACAGTATTAACATGTGAAATAGAGGAAACGAGAAATTCTTCAACACTACAAGTACACTTGTCAGAAGTGAACCTTTGCAGATATCCATTAGAACAGTTTTATGGAAAAAATGAAAAACAACGTTTTGCCCAAATATACATCCTTTTAACTAAGAATCACTACTTCTGTTTGTTAGTATTTAATTATTAAACAATAGAATGTTGCCTGTTCTTCCATTCTTTACAGACACAAGTAATTAAGCAAAAAACCACACATATTACAAAGTCCCTTATTCATTCAGCAGAGACAATAAACTAAAAAATTAGGACTTGTCAGAATAAGATAATCAGTGCAATATTTAACAAGGACATGCGTAAATTTACATCATGATACAGTATAAATATATGCTCAATTATTTTCACACAAGTTTTCTGCTTTAATAAGTGTATAGATGAGATGACACTCATTTACAAGCTCCCCTTCAATTGAAATTCTTACATAATTGTCATATTGTTCTCTCAGTAAGTTATTTCTTTCAATAGAACATATATTTTGATATTCATTTCTTTCTTCATTTAACTTAGAAAACATTGAAACAGACTCTTCTGGTTATTTTTTGGTGTTTTTTTTTTTTGTTTTTTTTTTTTTTGTTCTTGAGGTTATACATATTTCAGAAAAACTTTTCCTAAGCAAAACTCCAGAACTGTTTTTCTGATCAAAAGAAATATAGAAAGAAGTACACCTAAACATATCTGTGGTCAAGAAGGTCACAAGGATGCATTTGCAAGTGTTGATCTGCCTACAGAGGGACCTGGACAGACTGGATCGATGGGCCAAGGTTAACTATATGAGTTTCAATAGGGCCAAGTGTTGAGTCCTGCATTTTGGTCACAACAACCCCAGGCAACCCTATAGGCTTGGGGAGGAGTGGCTGGAAAGCTGCCTGATGGAAAGGGACCTTGGTGTACTGATGGACAGTCAGCTAAATATGAACCAGCAGTTGCCCAAGTGGCCAAGAAGGCCAATGGCATCCTGGCTTGTACCAGGAATGGAGTGGTGAGCAGGACTAGGGAAGCAATCCTGTCCCTGACTTGGCATTGGTGAGGCCTCACCTTGACTACGGCGTTCAGTTTTGGGCAGTTCAGTACAGAAAGGACATTGGGGTGATGGAGCAGGTCCAAAGAAGGGCAACAAGGCTTGTGAAGGGCTTGGAGAATATGGCCTATGAGGAGAGACTGAAGGAACTGGGGCTGTTCAGCCTGGGGAAAAGCAGGCTGAGGGGAGACCTTATTGCTCTCTTCCAGTACCTGAGAGGTGCTTACCTTTATACCTGAAAGAGAGTGGAGTTGGTGACAGGATGAAGAGAAATGGCCTCAAATTGCACCAAGGTAAATTTAGGTTGGATATCAGGAAAAACTTCTTTACAGAAAGGGTTGTTAAGCACTGGAATAAGCTCCCCAGGGAAGTGGTTGAGTCACCATCCCTGGATGTGTTTAAAAATCGTTTGGATGTGGTGCTCAGGGACATGATTTAGTGGGGTGTTGTTAGAGTTAGGGTCGCATGATTAGGTTGTAGTTGGACTCAACGATCTTTCAGGTCTTTTCCAACTTGAGCGATCCTATGATTTACCATTAACCACTCCTGAATTTGCACTTTTTACTATTTCCTTGTAGAACTGTCCCATTTTTTTTTAATGGAAACAATTAATTACTCAACCAGATTACAAAAGAGAAACGGACTCTACAGTGCAACAGACACTATGCTAACTTGAGAGATGCATTTTCCCATAAGAACATAGAAATTAAAACTCATGTTCAGAACTAAATGTAGGTCGTCCTAAGCCCTCTCTTCTTTCTCTAAAAACGTTTTTCTTTCCCTGGTATATCCTCTTGCTCTCTGACACTAAGCATTTTTGGGACTTTCTGAACCAAAGAAAGCATTAGATCATTGTGCTTAACGAGATACCAACTTTCAAATAGTCTGTTAAGGTATTCATGTGAGTATAGCACACTGAGACTGGAAGCCAGGTATCCTATTTTTCAGTTTCCTGTCTTAATTCAAAGGAATCGGCTGCTCTCCATTGGCCTTTTTTTTCTTTCCCTTTTTATTCAAACAAAATATATCAGTTTTTATGTCAAGTTACAGATAGAAAAAAACTTTGAAATAAGTGACCACCTACTGATGACCTATGAAAAGCAAGTACTGTGGGAAGTATTTCAGAGAGTTCATTAAGCTTTGCCAAGGATGGGGATAGAGAGCAATTTGACTTGGCATCTTCTGAAGATACTTTTGCTGTGAAAGCAACATATCCTCAACATGCAGTGCTCATTTTTATTTACTACTCACTTTCCAACTTTTTCTACAAAGAAAACACAGTTTTAGAAATATTTGGTGACTGCAAGCTTTTTCTTGTACATTTAAGGTGATAAAATTTCAGTTGAGAAAGCATCATAATATAATGCATACAAGTAGATGAACATTTTTGACATTTTTTAAACTTTTGAGGGTTTTATTTTACTACTTTGCAATTTTTTAAGTTCACATCTGTGAATAAAGTTAGGAGTATTGTTTTGACTTGTGTTTTTTTAAGGAAAACATTGAACTGAAAAAATATGAGTTCATACAGACACTTATTTCTTATAATCATAGAATACTTAAGGCTAGAAATGTCCTCTAAGATCATCAAGACCAACTATCAAACCATTACCACAACATCCACTAACCATGTCCTTCAGTACCATATCTACACATTCCTTAAGTCACCAGAAAGAGTGATATCACTATTGTTTCCCACTGACACTTGGAAAATCAGGTCTTTCCTCTTCCCTGCCTAACGTAGCCTCCATATCTCAGCTCCATTATCTTTGCCCAGCAAGTCATAGTCTCAAATTCTGGACACTCCTTTCATTCTCAGTCTCTTCTACCCTTCTACTTCTATCCTTCTTCTACTTTTAAGGCCCTTCCTTTTCCACTAGTTGTATTTTCTGTTATACTCAAATCTACTAGTCCCAAATAACTTCTCTTTATGTATCTGGCTCCTACACTTTCTCCACTGTGCTTTAGCAAAGCAAACACTTAGCAAAGAATAATCTCAGTTTGAGTCCAAAATTATAGCTAGTCCAATGACAGTAATTCAGAACTACAAGCTATTTTGAAAAAGGAATCTGAAAATAAAGCTAGCTACTACATTCTACAGAGATTTGATTGAGTAAGTACCCAGAGATTTTCTAAGAAAATTGTTGCACTTCTATTACAGGAGCAAACAAATTTACTTTTCATTTTAATCTTGCAAAATGTTGAACTGTTTAGGCTGATGTTTACAGATAACCATCCTGAGAGAGATGCCTAGGATACATGTTTTGTTTTTTTTAAATCTAAATGGTTAACATAAGGCAAAAAAGGTACCCTTAGTAACAACTAGCATTACCAGTTCATTATAATTCTTAAAAATTCATCATTTAATGCTTAGATAGTAATACATAAACACATATAAACGGACAAAAAGAAGGAAAAGGAAAAATTAAATACATGCATTCTATTTCTCCAACTACAAGCAGCTAAATCACAGTGACCGTAATTATTACAAACCAAATGCATTATCCTTCACTTTGTCCCTTTTCACCTGCCCCATACTTTACCAGCTGAAAGTGGACACATGCAAAGCAAATGATGGGTAATACTAATTAAAAAGGGAAGGTAAAGCAATCTTAAAAGTACTTCTAATTGCATGCATCACGTTTCTATCCCGTTATTTTTGCATTTGAAAACCTTGAAAAATCATAAACATAGGCTCTATTTTACAGCGCTCTTCAGAGTCCCCATTGAAGTTGTTACCCATAAGTTTAATCGGACCTGTTGTCTACCACTTACATGCTCATCTTTCGGGATTGGCTCTCTTTATTTCCATTGCTCTTTTGGTCAGCTGAGTTAAATGAGTTGCGAGAAGCTATGAGTGAGGAACTGGGAGAGAAGGTAGCATTCCCACTGTTACCAGTGGAACGAGTCCGAAATGAATCATCTGAAATAGAGTTGAAGTTTAGACAAAGAATTTTGTCTGAAAACAAACAAACAAAAAAATAACAACCAGAGAATGAGCAGAATTAGCTGTTTTTACTATAGCAATAGTGAGATATTTCCTATAGGAATAATCCAAAAGATTAACTTGCTGTACGTGAATAGTTTCCACTTCTTAAGTAATTTTATGAAAAATCAGTTAATTATCTAATGTCTACTGGTAGTGAATGGAAAAAAGTTCCTCCTGAAAACAATTAATCTTATTCTCATCTCTAATCTAAACTAATCATCCAAACTCTTCAAAAGCAGAGAGAGCTTAAAGGCATTGACAGTGGTCTCTCTCAATTAATTCATTAGAGGTTGTACATGATATGTCTTTTTTTCATGTAAGACATCCAGAGACAAATTGCAAAATCTGCTTTCTTACTTTAACTAAAATGCCAATCAAGAAATCCCAACTTCATGTTTAATTTTATTCTTTCTAACTATAACTTTAAATAATAGGAATTAATGAAAAATAAATTTAAAAAAATAGACCAACTAGACTAAAATTTATCTGTTCAATCATGTGGGTACCTATTGTTTTATGTTGTTTAGGAATATAATTTCTATTTGATGGTACCCACATACTGAACAACCTCACAAAAAATGAACGTATATATAACACAATAACCTACTTACCACTAAAGGATAACATACAACCCTTCCCCATTCCTGATAGTGAAGATGTATACCCTGTAGCAGAGCTTTTACTTAAAAAACAAAGAAAAGAAAATTCGTAATTACTCTTCTCGATATTATAATTTTCCATCCTGCTGTTTGGTAATATTTGAATTTATTTCTAAGTTTACCTGTAAAAAATTAAATGAGAAAGTTATGCTGACATTTCCTAAATAATTTAGATAAAAAAATTAATATTGAAAACAAATTCATCTATGATATGGTATACATTAACTTAAAATGAATTCTGAAGAATTTGTAGTATGCCTTAGGATGCTATTTTCTCCCTCAATTCAAAATTGTATACTTTACCCAATTAAACAGAGAGCTGAAAATTTAGGTCACAATACAGTGAGCAGAACACACTGAATACTAGAGATTCAGGTGCATGTATTTCTTAACAGCTTTCTATCAGTTAAGCAATTAATATAAAAAAGATACTTAGAACACTTGTCTATGTTGCTGTATTTTGGATGCAGCGCTTGAGTACTGAAAGACTGGCTTCGAACCAGCTTGGATTTTTTGTCTTCTTTGCCTAAAATTATAAGTAATAAACAATTTTAGTGCAGAAATCATTGCATTTACTCAGTAAATAACACTTTTTAATAACATACTCTATCAAACTATGTTAGCTGAAGAAACTGATTCAAATACCTTAATAACAGTAAGTAAGCATTATGTTGTCTATTACAGACCAAAGAATAAAATAAAACTAAAAGGCAGTAAATCCATTCCATTCTAAGAACGATTATTTTCCTGACCCACAAAAATGGCAGTTGGGTTTTAATCCCTTTCTAGGAGGATTTTTAAAGAATCCTCACCTGTTGAAGTACCAGAAGAGCTCCCAGAAGAAGAAAGAGTCATACTTTTTGCCAACACTGATGATGCTTTATTATCTCTTCCTAAAAAATAAATAAATAAATAAAAAGCCTAGTATTAATATTCCTCTGTGTTAAATAGCTTTACTTGAAATACAAAAAAAGGTCCACAGCATATTACAAGTACAGCAGTGTGCAGAAATAATGTTTAATCCAATTAGTAATATCACTAACAGGCTTTTAAATTACATCCTAAAATGAAAGATATCAGAGAAATGAAAGCTGTCAGATGTTTCATTAATAAACTCAAAAGCTTTCCCTTCTAGCACAAGTAGGCCCATTTTCATAAATTTTCATAAATATCTTTAAAAGAATATAGAAAAAACTTTAGTTTTTCTAAAGTTCTGGTATTAAAATAAATATCATCTCCTCTCTGCCTCCTTTTCTCCTATCTATGTAAAAGTAAGAGTAAAATACGTACAAACAACATGCACACTAATAAACTTACGCTTCTTTTCAAATATTTTATCATTAATATTTGCAGATCTTCCTTCGTTTTGCTGCTTCTCTTTTTCTAATTGTTCCTAAGAAATGAATAACTTACTTTAGTATTACTCATCCAACAATAATAATGGTAGTACTACTACTACTACTATTAATAATAATTGTTTTACAACTAGGCTGGAAGTTTTCAAAAAAGGGCATGCTTCCATCTCATTAAAAAAAAAAAAAAAAAAAAAAGTTAATTTCTGCTCTTTCCTACATAAAGGCTCTTTACTACAGAGCCTAATGAATGTCCAGAGAACAAATTAAATAGTACAGAGTGAAATCAGGGTACAATTACTATATAAATCACACCGAAAATGTTGATTTTAATTACAAAGGAGCCTAAGAGATAAAGTTCCCATTCAAAACTTTTCTTTGATAGTCAAACATGCACAAAATACTAGATGTGACTAAAGTATACAGAGATACTAGTCCAACTGTAATTGAATATATTATTAATTCAAATATCAATTAATATTTTTCTCAAGCTGTGAAGTGCATCACGTACTTTTTGAAGGTCTAAAAGAAACATCCAAAGTTGACATGTCTTTATGTAAAACAAAACTAAGTATTGGAATACTTCATTTTATGGAATATATTTGTTTTTCTGCAATATTACCTAGCCTTAGCATACCTCCCAAAAGCACATCCACATACAGGATATGGCATCAATACAACTCTACACACAATTTCAAGCCAATACTTGTCTCAGGATTCTTGGTCAATGAGTTTCAATCTAATCTCAAAAAGTTACAATATTAACTTATCTTCTTTACTACATTCAGAACAAAAATGCAAAGTGAACCAAAATTATTCTAACGACATTCTCTTTTTTTCACTTTAATTACCATCTAAGTGATTAAAAAAACGAAGTAAATCTCCACACACAAAAATGGGTAAGTAATTTAGGTCAAGGTTGCTGGAATACAGAATTTACTAAGTCACTTTAAAATTAAGGAAACTTATTAATAATCTTATTAAGCACTATTAAAATCTGTGGCTTCTCTTCTATTCAGGACCGTGACATGCCACAGTTCTCTGTGTACACCACCAATTCTTCAAAAGTATGCCTCTCAGAATATGGCAAGTAAGATCTCTGTGATACAGAAGGTATGCCCATATCTATCTCACACATGACAGAAACACAGGCACTCTTCTGCAGTCTAGCTGTAGAAATAGGGTAAAAAAAATAATGTTATCAAAGACTAAAGTGCAAAGCACACTGGAAACTACTTTGCCACAGCCCTCCAAATGCTTCCAGTATAAGAAACAGTAATTGTATCTGCCTCAAAAGTGCTAAAGCTAAGATCAAGATTTGAATGTGTGTACAGATGAGTATGTATCCTGAGAACAAAAGTTTGAACCTTGAATGCAAGCAGGCAGGATGCATGTGAGACACATATCACAAATTAAGAAAACTAGCATTGCAGAAGAAAGCCCATAGCACCTCTTGATATCAAAGTAGGCCACAAATGCAGGCTTTGTGACAACTCCACCGAGGAAACACCAACAATTTCTTGACAGTCTTGAACCTATTCCAGCTCACTGTAGAAAAGCTGTTCTGCAAGAAGTTAGAAGAACTGTGCTAATGAAACCTGGCCTTTTCTTAAGCCTGTCGGCTTCTTGGCTTCTCACACACTAGACTGCAGAGGAGGGCCACAGTCCTGGCAAGCCATCCAGCTCAGGTTCCATGAAGATGTGCGAAGTGCCTATTGTCTCTTTTGCTTACAGTCATAGCTGATGATAATCAGGTTTGTGAGCAGGAGAAGTATTCTGCAGACTTCTCTTCCAAATCCTAAGCCTTTTTCTGTAAGACCTACACTCAGTCTCACTCTGGTCAGGTTGCAGATGTCCTTTTCTGGCTAACAGGGAAGTCTGTAACATCTACATCACCCCCTCCAGCATCCTTGTAGAAAAAAAGATATTATGATTTGCTTATAGAGGCTGTGTATGAATTCTGACATGTTTCATTCCTTATTGAACTTATTACATCATACATACCTGACAAATCAGTAAGCTCCCTGAAGATTTCAAAGGTGCATTGTAGTTCTTGGGACTGAAGAACTACAGAGGCATAATGTTTGAATATTTATTAAGCAATTCCAATTGACCTTTCTAATTGACATAGTGAAATTTTAGTAGCAAAGAAAAAAAAGTTGTGTGATATTTTGGAGGACTTACCCTTATTTTAAAATGTAAAATGAAATAACACACAGATTGTGAACAATTGTTTCTCTGTAACATGTGCCTTCCCTGCCCTAAAATTATTGCCTCAGTAATATTTAGCTACAAACTACTGAAAAAGATAAAGAAAAGACATCGTACTGATAAAATATACCATTTCCAAAAGGAGATGTTCTTGTCTTTCTTTTTCTTGGTCCAATAAATCATTTTCGTAAAATCTTTTCTGAAACTTCAAAATAGAATCAATAAAAATAAAAAATCACTACATGAAAATGGGAATAAAAAGTAGTTAGTAAATACTAGAACTAGTAAGTACTTACAGCATCTAAAGAGATATCCATTCTGTCCAATTCTAACACTGTCTATAAAGAAAATCAAAGTATTATTTATCCTTACTTAACAGCAACCCACACTTCCAACTCAGATCTGTGGAGATGAGAAAGCTTAGAATAGTGGTACTCAAAATTAAGCATGTCCTTTCTTCCTAAACGTTTGAAGCTTACGCTTCAATATTTGTGCTACAAATGCTTAATTTCAAGAAATGTCAGAGTATTTTGAGAGCACCGCTAAGCCTCACACTAAAGGACTAATAGACCACCAAAACGCAACTCAAAATACACTGAAGGGGAGCTTGGAGCAGAGGCCTAAGAAGTAAGACTGAAAGGATAACACAGCAGGCAGGTGCTCATCCAGTCCCTCCTGCAGACTGGCCCCATGAGAGAACTACTTATTTTAGCTACTCCCCAGCTTCTTTGAGACTGAGCACAAACATGACTTAACGTTTTGTGAGAATTTTACTTTATAAAGGTATTGTAACATTTGAAAGTCCTGCAAATGCTTTCTCTATTTTTGTAAGATAAAATGACTAGCCCAACACATTTACCTTGAAGGCTCTTGATGATTTTTTACTACGTCATCCTAGTCCTGTCTTGAGCCATATCTATTTTTTAACTGACACACAATCTTTAACTCAAGTCACTAGAAAATAACTGCAATGTCTGTAACCAAGAAAAGACCACCTCTCTTAAATTTGACAGAACGCATTACATCTTCTCTTAATTGTCCAAAATTACAAATAGTCATTAGAGGTCTTTAGTCTCCTGTTCTTACATTAAGAGACAGAAAGGAAAACTTTGATCATCTTTGCCTTTTAACAGTAACCCCAATACAAAATGTTGCTTACTCTTTTTACAATAGTCAGGACATCTTTGTCTTTCTCTTGGCACAAAAGTTTCCGTATACATAACTCCAACTGCTGAAGCAAATGTTTATCAGTGGGAATCTTCAGAGTAGATTTAACTTTTGGCAACAAATAGCACAGCTTGATTCTACCAAAGGAAAAGAAAATCACCTTTTGATACAGATAGTTTAATAAACATTAATTTTTGATTTGCATGCTACCATTTGACTCTAAAAACCTAAACTCTGAAGAGAAGTCATATAATTATTAGGTGTTATTATTCAGAAGGAATTTCTGCTTACACACTCTTCCCAGATATTCTAAAATATTTTCAAAAAACTTGTTTATAGACTGGGACCACAGTCACATATTTGCAGTTGAACAGTTTTTTTTTTTTATTATTTTTTTAAACCTCACAAGATAAGCTGATCTCTAGGTTTTCAAAAGGATCTACATACCCAGTAGAAGTTGTGAGTTGCTATATGGAGTAAGGATGCAATTCTAGAAGGCAGTAAATGCAGGGAGAAAAATTATTTATACAAATTAACCCAGAACAAAATTCAAAGTTAAGAGCCTTTCTGGTCTGACAAACTGGCGGTGCAGTTTCATTCGTCATTACAGTGCCTCTGTGTAACTCAAGTGTGGGAGCTTTCAAACCAAATTCCATGAGGACTGAAGTAACTGATCCGCCTTAATCCCCAGATACTGCTTCTGAACAGGTTATATGGAAAATGTATGTATTGCTTTTTATAAATATAAAATTGAAAGGCACTGTGCATTAAAATAAAAAGAATTTCATACATTTAAGAGAAACAAAATACTCTGCATTTGACCTGACTGCAACTGCATTGCAAACTGTTTTAATCTAGACAAATTAAACGTAAAAAAATGAAAGACAATACGGTGATAATCTCTGCCATTCTCAGATTGTACTGTCTGTGCTCAGAGACAGTCCTGTGTCAGGGAGGATAGCTTTGTGATGATCAATATTCAAAGATCTTTCTTATACAATTTTTTCCTGTTTTTTATACCTTCAAAATACTTCAACCTTCACAAAGAATTATGGTAGAACACAGGTAAAGGACTATAAGTCAATTAAAGTTTCCATTAAATATTAATAATATGTCAGTAGAGCATTCAGCTGAACTGCTTTTAAAAGCCATAAGCTACTTATGATGACAAAAAATTAGGGATTTTTTTTACTGAATGCACACATGTATGCTTACATAGGTCATCATTATTAGATATCTAGATATGTTAAGGATGACAACATGAATTACATCAGAAACAAAAGTGCAAAATCACACAAAATACATGACAAAAGAACACCAAAATAAATTTTTCTTCTGGTCTCAGAACTGCCTGGTCTCAGGCTATTTAGGGAACAACAACAAAAAAAAAAGTCACTATGAAATTAAAGAAAAAATACAGCATAAAAATGAAAAATGTACTAAATCCTCTTATATCTTCCTGTTCTTTTTCAATTAACTTTAACAATGAAGTAGAAAACTTCCACATAAGATAAAGCCTATGTTCACTATTAAACTATGACCACTGAAATAATTCCTTGTGTTTTTATCTTTATATATCAGTATGTTGAAATTGATGGAAATTAATGGAAGTTTTAATTAATTAATGGATTAATGGAAGTTAAGTTTGTTTCCTCAGACCCATGAAATAGTTTATTTTTTTCTTCTTACTTAGTGCTGTCTCCTTTAGCTCAGCACTTTTGATCAGCACCCCAGACACTCAGACTGACCTGCTTCTGTGGTTTAATGTCGTGCCCATACGTTTCTCCACAACTTTAGAACTGGTCACACATAAGGCACTGTACATTCTTATTTAGGCATAGTTATTTAAAACAAGCCATAAGGAAACATAATATTTGTTAACGTATTATTTAGGTTTTTTTCCCTGTACATTGTTACATACTTTTAGTACAGTACCTCACATTTGCCACTGGGTCGTGTGTAAGCTCAAGCACAGGTAGAAAGAAGTATTTACAGAAGAATGATTTTGAAAAGAGTTCCATAATGAATTCACAAGTATCTAAAAAACGAAGTCTGTTCCAATAACTTTTTCCTTGGCCCAGTTCTGAAAAATAACAATCCACAAATATTATCTGTAAAACATTTTTATTGTCAGCTAGAACACGTTTCAAAGGTTAGCATTTGACTCAAAGATGACACTCTTCAATGAAAGCCTAGGCTCTGAACTCAGTAACCGTTTCTGCCAGTGAGCACTTTTTTCAGATATCCAATCTGTTCCTTTAATCACTTGAAAAAATGAAAAATAGCAAATGAGCTGGTTTCTTTGTTGAACAAAGCCTGGTATGCCTTTCAGATGATGTCACGCACATTAAAATTACCCGGCAAACATTAAAAATTGTTAATGAGCATAACTGAACCTTCTAATCTGTCTTTAAAACACATAACATTGGCCAGAAATTCCACTTACATCAGCCAGAAATTCCACTTACTCATCTGACCAACCTATTCAAAAATTAATTTCTGGGATGTTTTATTCAACACTTCTTATGTTGAAGCCTTCAGAGAATTATAATTCTATGGAGAAACTCAGTTATGCACTGCAGCACCTCTTGCTGAACAGTTTTGGATTCGAGAGGTAGGGTTGGAGGGGCACTGGTACATTATCAGTTCCCACATTGCCTCTTCCCAGTTCTTTCACCCAAACATACTCCTCGCACATCCAAATTTTGTTCTGAGTGGTGAAAGAGTGAGCAACCAAATATCTTCTAAGTGCAATCCCACCAATGATGGCAGGAAATTACACTGAAAGCATATAACCATAAACTGATCTTCAGCCAATACTAACTTGCATCTCTAAGCAAACAAGGAAAAATTATCTTACGTTCAATCAGTTTCTGAATAACCTCATGCCTCTGTTCTTGTTTGCGATTATAACGTAAATAAACGCACAGAGTTCGAGCAGCTGCTTTTTGGACTGGGAGGACATTCTTAAGAGAAATAAAGGAAACACAGTCAAGATTAACAGGCATTCAAAATTTCATGTTTCTTCAGTGCAATTTTAACTACAAATGCAGTCTTTTCAGATTTCTATTACTTTTTATAACCCAAACTCTTCTCAAGTTGAATAGATTTATAGTTGCCATAACAGACTCCTTTGTAAGTGCAACTATTTGCACTTATTTTTTTACTGGGAAATTTGGTCCTGAAATTTTAATCTTCCATATGTTTCAATCAAGTACAATTTATGTTGTACCATTTTATCTTCACTTCCCACAAGGCTTTCTCCCTGAGAATAAAGCCTAGGACTTAGCTTAGAAAAGAGCAGCCTATCAAGGAGAATGGAAGAATAGGAACACAAGCCAACTCAAATACAATTCCTGTGAAGCCTGTCAATATACAGAGTTGTTATGGAAAAACTTAAGTTATTTGGTATCTATTAGCAATCAAGTTATGTTTGTTATGCAAAATCAGATTGGTGAAGATTATGCCAATACAGGTTATTAACTATACATGTTTTAATTCAAATATCAGTGGCAAAACCAAAGAAATAAAAGCTTTATTCATTGATTTTAGTGAAGTTATAATTGATTTATTTGAACTTTCACCTCCTACTTCTGTTGCTAAATAAGAAATCCTGATTCAATCTCCATTTCACCTTTACAAAAATAAATATAAAGCATTTAAGCATTGCAGTAATACAGGGGCTGATCCAGAATTCATGCCTCCTATTTTGTGATGTTGGACCACAGCACCAGAGGCAGATGGTGGTGGTATGGTAGAAGTTGAACCTTCCCACCAATATTCCATAACATTTTGTTGCCATGAGACAGATGGCAGCAGAGAGGCACTGTGACAAAATGGCACCTGACATGGGAGTAAAAGGTAAAAATGGGAGCGGATAAAGCAAAGGTGCTGAATTCAATTCATCCACATGGAAAGAATGGTACTCACTGACATTAACTGATTCTTGCTGAACATTTATGGAGACCAAACAGTGGATGTGAAAAAAACGAAATAGTGGGTGATCTGTTTCAGCAGTGGTAGCCGTAACATGAAACACAAACTGCATCTAGAAGGCTGTATGCAGCTGTCACACAACAAAATGAACCATAGAATGCTCAGGGTTTGGGATCATCGAGGTTCCAGTCTCCAAGCAGAGCAAAGCAATCAGCTCATCCATGCAAATCAGAGAATTACAACCCGGGAACTGCATATGGAACTGAATATCAGCTTTAATGTCTTGAAAAAGATGATGGTAACATTGGAATATTGCACAGTTTGCTGAAGGTGGATCCAGTGAATGCTCATGCAGAAACAGAAAGAACATCATAAGTTTGTCAGGACCCACTGAACCATTAGGAGGCTGCAGGTGGCAGTTTCCTGGACCACATCATTACCAGTGACAAGAACTGGTGTCACCACTACAAGCTGGAGTCAATATGGCATTCCATGGAGTGATGATGTGAATTCTCCATCAAAGGAGAAGTTCAAGACAAGTGCACTGTCTTTTTGTATAGGAAAGCTGCGATCCTCCTGGATTTCCTGGAACTCAGGACCATCAATTCTGACCACTGCATCACAATACTGACTAAGCTGAAGGAACTCTGGAACTTCCAGCATCAAACCAGAAAAGATAGTCTTTCTCTCGCAACATAATAACTCCAGGCTCCACACCATTTTAAAGACCATGGAGCAGAGGGCCAATCTTGGCTGGAGTATCCTACCACACCCACTGTACAGTCTGGATTTGTCACCTTCTGATTTCCATCTGTTTGGGCTGATAAAAGATGGACTGCATGGACAACATTTTGCTAACAATGACTCCACCATAGCAGCTGTAAAAAACTGGGCCACCTCCAATGGTGCAGATATTTATGAGCATGGCATGCCAGCTCAGAATGCACAGCTAATGGTGGTAACTATACTGAAAAATAGTGCTTTGCAGCTGAGACTTTGCTCAATCAAAGTGTTATTATTCCCTATGTGCCTGTTTGTTGTTCCAACGCATATAAATAGGAGGCATTACTTTTGGAGCAGCCTATATACATCTTAGAATAAAATAGGCATAACATTAGTGAGAAAAAGGAATTTTAGCCAACTTATGAGACATTTCTTTATTCTTTCTAACTTGTTTATTTATCTGATTCTTAAATTATTCCATGTTTGGAAGCCATCTGCTATACTGTGGGCGTTAGAAAACATAACTTACAACATCTCTTAGAACAGTTTTACTCTTGAATCAATTCACTACAATTTCAGATCAGTAGCTCTAAATGATTGCTCACTTTTAGACTTAAAGTCTTCTCACTAAGAATGGAACATGATGCAAAGTAATCAGTGAAACTAGGAAAAAGATTTTCAATTTACTGGAAGCAAACTGATAATGAGCACAAAGCAAGGAAAGAAGAGTGTCGGAAAAGGAACACAATAACTTGTCAATACAAATTTTGCTTCTTGCTTCTCAAATTAGGGGAAAGAAGTTCTCGGCATTTTTTCAGCTTTATATGAAATAAAACAGTCTGATATCGCATATGCAGTGAGAAATATTACTTTAAGATAAATTTAAACATAACGCTAAAAATACCTAGCGGTAAGTGCTCTAAATACTTTAAAAAAATGAAGAACCAGAAAGAGGCAGGCTCACATTTGTCAAAATGATTGTCAACATTCTGTGAAGAAAACGGTAATAAATCTGATCACTTGATATGATTTGAGGGAGACACGCATATTTTTGTAGTAACTTCTCATGAGTTCTCCACTTTAAGGAAGTTGCTGCTCTCTGTTCTGCTGTTGTCAATGCAGGAATCAAGTCAGGAATAGACAGTAACTAGAAATAAAAATATAAACGTAATTTTACACCTTCTACCTACATGGCACATTACTAAGCTTTAAAAACAAGGCACAACAATGTAAGGAAGGAAAGATTTTAAGTGGCCAACTACTTCCTCTACTCAGCCAGAATCAGCTACACTGTGACCATTTCCAGTAGGTCTCATTTCTTTTCATAAAACCTGACCAGGATTACACAGCCTCTCATACACAGTAAATTCTACTGGTAACTACTCAAAAATCTGTTCTGGCACTTAAATAAACACACCTTCACTTCCAGCCCCTTAATCTCACAAAGAGAAACAACTGATCAGTGTTCCCTTTGAAATATCCTTTACAGCTATGAAGACAAAACCAGTCCTCCTGTCTTCTCATTCTCAAGCCAAATAAATCCCTTTTTTCTCCCCAGCTCTCAAACTTTGCAATTATTCTTCTCAGCTTCTCACTTCATTCTGAAAGGAATTGTGCACCTTTTCTCATCAGGAGGCAATGATTTTATAATAGTCAAGATAAATTGCCTTCTGAACTAAGCTAAGTGAAATATGCACATTTGACATGCACTTGTCACATATATAACATGTTTACAGTTATAATCATCTGACAAATCCACATTTTAAAATACATTTTCAACCTGTGTCCAAATGAGAAAAAAATACACTCAGATCTTGGTCTGTTGGAATATTTCAGTTTTTCTGTATGCTTGGGAAGTATGTTTAGAACAGCATTTTGAAACAAGACATGATATTTTACATTCCATTTTACATGTTAGGAGTTCCTGAATAAACCATCATCCAGAGCCAAATAAAATTAAATCAGCAAAGTTGAGAACTGAATTCAGATCTCTGAAGTCCTAGTTCAGTACCTTTACCTCAGGAAATATGCTACCTCCTGCCAGCAACTGTGTCTGAAAAGGCAACTGTAGGTAGATGCCACATCAATATGCAAAATAAACAAATAAATAACTGGTATTAACAGTCACTCATTTAACGTGAATCCATTCTCTTTAAATATTGCTAATTTTGATTCAACTTAATGACTGCTGCAAAATCTGATCTATTTCAGCTAATCTGTGTTTAATTGGAAAAAGAGCATAGATATGCAGTTCATCATTACACTAAAAAAATTATATTAAATTTTACAAGAAAAAAATATTTAAAAAAAAGCTCTGTTTTTCCCCAAAGCAGAAAATGATCAAGAATGATCCTCACACACCTGAAACAACTTTCCTACTACCTTCCATTTACATTTAGAAAGTAAATTATGAAACATGAGAATACCCACCTTGCTTTCTGATCCACTGTTTTCTCCTCCATTAATCATTAGCTCAAGGATTTCAGGAAGGTGACCTACCAGAGCATCTAAAACCTATTTAAATAAAGGCTGTATGAATGAGATTTATAAATTAACTTGTGCCAATTTATGTCTCTCACCAGTAATATCCCTGCTGACATCTCCTATGTTATTGCTCTCTTACATCAATGCAGAAGATTTTTTTTTTAAAAAAAGATGCAACTTATACTTAGTTGTACTAATGAGAACAGGGATTTAAAATTGATATTTTAATATAGAAATGTAAGTATTATAGGTTTCATATTAGAAAAATAGAATTATAGCTTTGATTCACATCAATACCACACTCAGAGATTTCTGAAACATCCAGAGTACAATACTTAAAAATGAACATTCATGCATTCTAAAAGATCTGTCTTTCACAGATGGTTAAGTAACAGCCTTAACAGCCACGAAGAAATGTATTTTGGATATTTGCCAGCTAAATCTTAAAGGCAATTTTATATTTTTAAAAATATATTTATATTTATATTTTTATATATAAAGTGCCTATCACCTGATTGATAAACATTCTTTGGAACCATTTTGATAGCAGGGGTAAGAACAAGAGTCAGCCTGTCAGTACCTCAGCATTTCTGTTTCCAACCAATTGAAAAATAAATAAATAAATAAAAGCCACAAGACTTTGCTGCCAGCCTGGCATGCTGGCGTTTAATACTGCTACTCTATCAGGGCTGGAGGGAGACTTATTGTGAATGGCAACAGTTTGCACTGTGATTTCTCCAGCTGTGCTGCAGAACAGCACAGGCATCACAGCATAAATTCATCGATAAATTAGAAAAGAATATTTAGCCTTTATTAGTGATATAGTAGTTAGTAATGATCTTACTTTCAAAGATCAGAAATTAGGTTTGAAATTAGACTATAAAAGTATATACTAAATATTACTTGCTACAAGTCTGGATTTCTGTAGCACTGAATATTTTTACTATTTACATAACTTAGAAATTTTTCAAAACCACCAGCTGCTTCTGAGTCTCAGCTTTCCAGTGCTGGAGTTGAGAAATCTTTTAAAACAGATCAGAATTTTGCAAGCTATAAGTAGATATTCTACAAACATTCTTAATTCCCTTGAGGATGCCTAACAGAAGATACCAAAATAAAAAGCAGCATGTCAAAGGAAAATTCAATTTGCCATGCCATATCCAAAGATCCTACAGATAGAAAAACAAATAAATAAAACCAGCATGAAATGCTCAAATACCAGTATCAGAGGAAAGTCCAACTTTGTCACAAAAAAAAAAAGACCAATCCAAACAATTCTTGCTATACTGTCTGTTAAATATAATTAAGTGATTCATTCTTCACATAGGTTGAAACCAAGGCTCACTAAACTGAACCGTCTCTGGAATGGCCAGAGGTTCTGCACCAAAATCCTTTCTAAAAATGTTGATCTTTGAACCACACACAACTTCATCTCTTCTTCTACTGGAGAAACACAAATAAAAGAAAGTAAAAACCTGGAATGTTGACAAGAAATATTTCAATGCAGTATCAAAAGAAAATATTTCCACATAATCTGTAAGGTAATAAATAATAAAATAATAACACATCTAAAATGAATGTTCCGAAAAGCAAATTAATGCAGTGTGGGTTAACTGAATTCAAACACCTTGTTTTCCTCCTTTCTATTCACAAAACGCTTGCATCCTTAGGAAGACCAGGAAACAGAAAGAGAAGTTGCTCATGATTGTGAGCAGTTACTGTTTCATCTTCCTGCAGAGTTCCTAAACATGGATGCGATCGTTTCAGTGTAACAAGCAAAATTAAGTTCCAAAGAAAACGTATTACCTCCAGTGACTCATCCTGTAATAGGGTAACCAGTTCTTTTTGAATTGTATACACGCCAGAATTTAAAAGCTTAGCAACCTAAAACATACAAGGAAACAAACAAAAAAGACATAAGATAACAAGGTAAACCATACTTCAGTTCCCTGGCACTACAGTGATTACCCTACATGTGCTTACTTGTCAGCAGAACAATTTTTTACTATCAACCCTCTAAAGTCATATACTTCCCTGTTGATCACACTAAAAATATGCTTATACAGACAATATGGAACAAGAAACAGACTTGTTACCTAACTGACAAACATGGTTTTAGTCTTAACGCTATGTCACACTTTAAGAAGAAAAAAATCAACATTTAACTGCTTGAAGTTTTCACTCCTAAATTATTTGTTCTGTTTTTCTTTTGATTCCTAAATCACATATAAACTTCTAAAAAATACTACAAGTCCATCTCCAAATTGCAAAAAAATGGTTTTATAGTGAATATGAGAAAAACTTCAGGAATGAGATTTTGCTATAGTGCATGCTTAGCTTAAGACTTCTAATGGTTTTCCTTGTTTATATGAGCCAATTGAAGATAATATCTTCTATAATCAAGACTAAACTTCAAGGAAACAGCTACAGGCAGTTATTGAAAAGCATATCCAGCCATCAATGAATGCCATAACTTACTGACATCTGGCTGTCATGAAGTTGCTTAGTCATGGTTTTAAAAATACACTGAGTGGCACTAAATGTACATTCAGATTAAAGTATAATTTTACATGTTTTTTGTTTTTTTTTTTTAATGAGCTAGAATATTTTATATATGTTCAGACAGAACCCTAAAAGTGCTATACATCAGATAAAAAATTATGTAGAATGATATGCTAACAGTATGATCTTGATAATTAGCTTGGATTGTCATTTATTAAGAGAAGGCATCAACAAGCACAGAGAAATGGAAACCTATCCAGATTTCTTAAGATGACAGAAATAAGGTCACCTCAGGCCTCAGAATGGGCTGCCCAGGAAGGTGTTGAGTCACTCTCCCTAGAGGTGTTCAAGAAATATTTAGCTGTTGCACTAAGAGGCATGGTTTAGTGGTGAAATATTGGTGGTAGGTGAACCATTGGACTGGGTCATCTTGGAAGGTCTTTTCCAATCTTGGTGATTCTATGATTCATTTATTTCTCTACTCTTGATTTAAATACTTTCAGTGAGCTGCTTAATTTACAATTTTCTTCAGCTACAAACTGGCATAAAAGGCAGGTTTGAGGATTTCATTACTAAGATTCTTTGTAAAACGCGATGAAAACCTTGATGATCTCTGATATGGATTGGAACATTCAGAAGAGAGTGTATATTCATTTCTGCAATTCATACGGTATTGCTAATAATATATACGCAAAGATTTTTTTGAACTTTTACGAAAATAATGAAGTGAAACTTATGTAAATTGGGTGGAATAATAAGAATATATGTGCTTTTAGATCTGCACAGTTTTCCAAGTATTTTCATATTAAATTTTAACTTAGGCTTAGTGTTTAACTTAGACTTAATACAAGCAAATAGTCTTCAGATAATACAGTATAGTTGCAGTCTAGATGTAAAGATTTTGAGGACAGAAGTGACAAGCTCCTTTTCTCCTATCTGTCTCATTATTTTATAATAGCATTCAAAACCTTCAAATAATCTAATTACTACAGTCGCTTTTGTTAGTGGTACTAGACCATCTTTAGTTTCTTTCAGCTTTTGCTTCTTAACCTCACAGTACCATTTTGTAGACAATGTTGCACAACAGGCTGAAGTATTTATGGGCTATAATTACATAATAGAAGACACTGAACACTTCTGATGAAATTAATCATTTTAGCAGGTTTTTACAAGTCTTCTTCTATAGGTTGAACAGTCACAAACATGAACTTAAAGAACAAAACATAAAACAGAAACACTTCAGAACCAACAAAGAATTTTTTGTAGACATACTTCATAGAAGCTTATGGCCATGGTATATCTGACTGGAACTTCAGGATCATGACAAAGGCAGAAGAATATAGAATACAGTTCTAAATGGAAGTTCTTTGGATCCACAAAAACTATCATGGCCTGTGGAAAAATGAAGTCTTCTATTAACTGTATTGCTAATCAGAGATTATCAGAAAAAAATACTGAGTTACAATGAGTGAGATATTTGGGAGTTAACAAGTTGTGATTTTAAAGACAAAGTGTGATATTTTTGATGGCCGTGTCAAAACAAGGCATCAGATAAGTTAAAGAATTAAGGACTAAATTGGTTGTACAGATCTTCCAGACTGCAAGCTTTGTTTCTGTAGACAGATTAAAACCACAAGCAATAGAAGCTTTTTTATAAATAATGTTTCAGTAAACTAGCAGAAGCCGCAATTGAAGACCAGAGCAACACAATGTTTTAGTAAACACTAAAATATCTGAATCTCAACATAACTGTGTGTGTACATCACTTGCTTTTGCTCAACTAAACCAACAGATTTCTACTACATAGTTGGTTTTATCTTTAAAAGGTAGAGTAAAAATAACCCATTTATTGGCTCTTGGTACAGATTTAGTTTCTTTAAATATAAACATCGTATGTCAAAATACAAAATAGATATGCAAAAGCATGAGTGGTAGATTTAACAACCTCATATAAACTTGGCTACCCTGTTTCACAGGCATATTCTCAAGGACTTTGTGCTAATTGTTTGGAGAAAACAGATAGGAATCCTGTCTCTGGGGAGACCTTATTGCTCTCTTCCAATATCTGAAAGGTGCTTACCTTTATACCTGAAAGAGAGTGGAGTTGGTGACAGGATGAAGGGAAATGGCCTTAAATTGCACCAGGGTAAATTTAGATTGGGTATCAGGAAAAACTTCTTTACAGAAAGGGTTGTTAAGCACTGGAATAGGCTCCCCAAGGAGGTGGTTGAGTCACCATCCCTGGGTGTGTTTAAAAACCATTTGGATATAACGCTCAGGGACATGATTTAGTGGGGGTTGTTAGTTAGGGTAGTATGGTTAGGTTGTGGTTGGACTCAATGATCTTTAAGGTCTTTTCCAACCTGAGCAATTCTATGGTTCTATGAAAGAATGAAATCAGTTATCTCTTGAAATAGTAATCTCTCAGTCAGAACTTTCCAATAGTTTTTTGAGTCTCCAAAGATGAATCTTTCCTGGAAACTCTTTTGTTCAACCTCTAATTCAAGATGTTAACTTGAATTTTCCAGGGAAGAGCTAGAATCTAGCTAATAGCGTACAATTGTTATCAATACTTTCTCTGTCCTTCTTGCAGTCCTATTTAGTGAATTATATGCATGACACAACTTAGTTAATCTGAAATTAATATTACTTACTGGAAAATTGTAAGCACAGTTCTTCCTCACTGAAATATACTTCTTTTCCTGTTCCAGAGTTTGCAGTTGTAATTGATTATCATTGTGTCCATTTTCCTGCTGTAAGCCCAGTGTACAAAGCTTCTTATAAAATTCCAAAAACCGTAAATGCTGCTCAGGAGTAAAAATGCCTCCAAAATTAAAATAAGAATAAGATTACTCTTCTCATTAGAAATGCTACTACTAATGCTCAAGAAACAAATATCATTTGCAAATCTATCAAGTTTGCCATGTTGTGTTCCCTGCATCATCAGTACAAATTATACAGGAAAGATGATTAAAGAAAAATGACAGCTACCTATTATGGAGTGAATCTTTACTTCTGTTTACGTAATTCTTGGAATAATCAAGAATTCAGCAGCAGGACTGCAAATATAATTTTTTGTTCAACTAACAGAATTTTCATCTTTACTCCATTTTCAGAGTATGAAAACTACTAGCTGATGAAATCACTGAGTGCCATAACATACTGGAAAAAGGCAGGAGTGATGCTGGCATTTAACAGCTGGAGAGGGGAAGAACAAGCCATATAATTTTAGATTGATTATTCAGATTAACTTAATGGTTTTTTGGTGTTTTTTTTTTAAAAAAAAAAAAAAAAAACACAAAATCTACTTGTAAACACCAAAAAATGAAACAAGAAAACAAGCAACAGTCAACACAGCAAAAGCAAAACCTCTTGAACAGATTCCCTTTCCTTCTAGTACTGGTTAACAGGACCTGCAAATAGCAGAAGATGCAGTAAAAGGGCATGCCTGCTGAGATTTTCATAACCAAAGAGATATCTGTAAAGTTGCTTCAAAATTGCTTGAAGAACAGATAAGAGCAGGGTACCATGCTTATTCAGATACGTCAGGAAAGACTAAATAGGCACCAGTCTTTTTAAAGAAAACAAACAAAACCCCAACTTTAGAGTTACTTCTGTTCATAGCCTGTATTTGAACAAATAACATTAAACTACTGCAGACTACTGGAAAAAAAAGAAAAAGAAAAAAAAGACTTTTTCAGAGTGAACAATATAAGCAGCAATTTGGCTTGCACAACATGTGAATGTCTTGCCCGTTCATTTTGTTCAGTTTTCCTAAGGCATAACAATTCAACAAAATGTGAATTAGTTAGACAGAGGTGTAGAGAGAGATCAGCAATTAAAGTCAGTCAACCTGAAGAAGATTGCGAATACATGATAAAAACAGGATGGACTCTTCTAACTCTGGGGTTCTGCAAACAATACTTTGGCACTACAGAATAGCCCTTTCAGGCTATTTGTAGTGAAGCAGCTGATAGCTTAGCTTGATAGTCTCAAACCTGACCAAAAAATGAACTTTTCTAAGATCTGCAAGAAATATCAAAGGGCTTAAGAGTCCAGGAGGAAATTCTCTACAGCTTAAATGTGTGTGCTGCCCCTTCCCAGGTAAGTTCTGGACAAAGGATAAAAGTGGGCAGAATTATAACAGAAAGATCTTCCATGCACAAAGTGCTGAGGTACAGAAAACTATGGGTACATAATGGGTCACAACTGTAGCTGGGAACCCACATGCTGTTAGATCTCCATTCTCCCCTGAAATTCGTTATGGGCTGCACTTTTTCTTACATGCCTCAAAAAAAAAAAAAAAACAAAAAACAAAAAAAACCAAGCACAGAAGTGAACATACAAAGTTAACATCATACTGCACTGTCAAAGACTACTAGGTACAAAAATCCAGTCATCCAACTCAGATGAACCAGAATAACCAACAAGGTATCAAAATAAATCAGTCAAACCAATAAATAAAAGCCATCACGCTTCCACTTCTGTCCCTGTTTAAACATAAAAGAGCAATAAACCAACAGATAGCTTAGGTGCAAATTCACAAAATCCAATATGTACTGGATAGATGGTTTCAGATTTGTAGTGCTATATTTTCTCTCTGAGCTCATCCAATTAACTGAGTTCTGGATACCTTTCCAAGTGCTTCAAATTTCCTGACCTTCCCTCATTTTTATTTTTTATTTTTAAAGAACATTATATCTTACCATATAATCCATTGCACAGTTTTCCCAAATGGAAAGATAAGGAAACTAGGATGGATTCATCAGCTTTGAAGGACTTTTCACAGAATGATTTCACTAAGGGGAGCACAGTTTGCCTCCTATCATCTGAAAGACAAAAGAGACTTTTAAAGTTAATCACTTGTTATGAAACATCCTAAAAGACCACGCAGAGTGGGATTCTACAGCGAGTTGCAAGAAATATTGTTTAATATGCTCAGGAGTCTTTTTGGCACGCACTCATTGAAGGCAGAAAACAGGAGGCAGAGTGATGAACATTACCACAGTAGAAGTCCAGATTTTTAATACCATACCTGTTCTAAATCTAAATACCTGTTCTAAATGGGGCAGAGAATAAATGAACAGCTACTAACTTCTCTGTTCACCAAGAATATAGGGAGTTAAAGAATATAGCAGTATTCTAGCAATAATAATTCCTACAACAGTATGAAGACAGTGGGGTTATGACCAAACATAACCACGATGGTGAAAAGAAAAATCTGGGTCTGACAGAACTGAATTTTTTGCAACCTACTGAGGAAACTGCAAATCTTCTGGCAAACAATAAACAGAGAAACAAAAAAATTAAGGGCAACAGAAATAATTAATGTCAAATGCAGCAAACAGTGCTAAGCACTCTGTTCCCACATAAAGAGCAAATATTCAAAGAAATTGATGTTTGGAATTATTTTAAATAAAAGCAATGTATTTTAAGATATTCAAATTTTAAATAGATTTGGATTTCTTTTTTTTAATGGTAATTTAACTCTAATATTCAGCAAATACAAATGGATGAACAAAGCATTTATGCTGACATGAAGAAACATTGTGATATTGCCAGAGAAAAACCCTAGGATACAACATTGAGTCATCTACCTTGATAAGTTTGTTTTGTATTTCGGCCATGAAACAAAAACCTATGCAAACCAAACACCTGCAGACACGTTCTCTGCAAACCTGTTAAGAAGTCTTAATCTATTTTTCTTAATTTTTCATTTTTCATACCTTTTTCGTAGAAGCAGTAGCAATTGGAAAGGTGGGGAAAAGACGGGCAGGAACAAAAAGAAGCAAAAACATGACAGTATAAATGGAATGGCTCAAGAATTTGAAAGTTAACCTACCAGCTTACTTGCTAATTTAAGCACTAACTGCTAAAAAGTCCACTGATGACATTCTCCCCCAAATCTTATTTCTTTATGTATTTCTCCATATGGCTTATAAGCAGTCATGTATTTTAGTAATTCATCACCATGTTCCTGTAAAGTAAATATTTGCTCCTCACTTCTCTATCAGGACGTACAGTCAGTAACACGAGAGTGGGAGGGGGAAATACAGTCCAAATACAAAGTTACTAATGAAGATAAACAACTGAAGAGGTTGGAAAATGCATAAAGAAGAAATTGGCAATTAATGAACAATGATCAGCAACCACTCGTGGAGCTTATAATATACTTTTCTTCATATACATTATAAACAGGATCTTTCATGTACTTCACTTCCTTACCCCTTGTTCAGTTTGTACAAAAGCAGCAGAGAATACAACTGACATTGAGCCAGAAAATCTGCCTACCACTGTCTTACACATAGCCCTGAAAAATTTGGTACAGAATGCAGAACAAGGCACTGCATTTACCCTTATGGGAGAGTAGCCAGCAACTCTTCTTAAAATTTGCTCAATCATTGCTGAACTGAATTGTGATGGGAACTCCAGCACCATGAATGTGGACACCTCACCATCACTAAGAGTACCAAAGACAACAAAGAGGCACCCCTACATGTGGAGAAGCATGAAATATTCATGTTGTTTAGAAGAAAGACATTGAGCACCTGAAAAATTACAAGCATTTACATTTTCCACTTTAAATACAATGAAAAGCTTTATATAACACACATACTTCCTTGCTGCAAAGAAGAAAGCTTTCATTACCACATACCCACAAGTTTACTGTGCTTTAAACAGCAATTGCTAATTCTTAGATCTGCTAAATAGATCAGTTGTGCACACTTCAAGTTATCGGACATGAAGAATTATTTTTTTACTCCAAATTTATGAATGTGTTGAACATGTAGCATTGTTAAAAACTGCAAAGTTTACCGACACACACATAAATTTTACATCATTGCATCAGTCTGGCTTCAGGAGCTGCAGTCTGTAGTTATGACAAACTTTACTTCAATTAAGAGGCAAAAAAACAGTTAATAGCAAAATAAACCCAAAAACAAACAAACAAAAAACAGCCAAACCCAACAACAAAATAAAGCCACAAATATCTGCATATGATGAAATAACACTTTGTGTTATGCTATGTATAATAGCATCAAGCAAATACTAGCAACCCAATACTCCTATCACTTGTACACTAGTTTTACTAATTCGGCTTCATTTCATTATATTAGAAACTTAGAATATGAAAATAACAGCTTTTGTGGACACCTGGTTCACTTTTCTTAAAAAACTAAAGCACTGCAAAACAGAAAATACATCAAGGATAAAAGAAAAAATAAAATCAGAAAACGTGTTAAAAATGCAGATAGAACAAAGATTCAATTACATTTTTAAGATGCATTGAGGAGTTAAAAACTGGGCTATTAGGTCCAAATGAAGTCCTTACCTGAGTCAAACATATCAAGCAGATTCACTAATGTCTCAAAAGCTGCAAGGCGTACACTGCTGCCCTCATCTCTTGCCAGCTCTACTAATTCAGGAAGCACTACAGTTTTGGTTAGTTCTGTCCTGCAGATTAAGGCAAGCATTTAAAGAGAAAACATATAATAAATCAAAGCTGCGATCACAAAACAGAATTCTGAAACTATCCTGAAATATTGAGTTAGTTATTCTTAGGGTGTCCAGGAAGGAAAAATTCACCAAGTTGTAAGAAAATGAAAATTAAATAGAAACATACATTTCATCTCAGGACTTAAAATACAAACTTCATCACTAAAAAAAATACATCACTAAAAAAAGCATTCAAATTGACTTTAAAAAGATCAGAGAAAATGCAATCTGAAAAAATTCAAAGGATTCCAGCTATTTCACTATGTCACTAAGAAAACTTCTGATCAAATATTCAGGAACTCCTCAATGAAATTCCAAATGAGTCAATTCCGAAGTCAAAATGATTAAATACATGTCAAGTGGGACTGAAGCATCTGGAAATCTTACGCTTCGAAGACCAAAGAAGAGCCTTCTTTGCAAAGGGTAAGCAAATGCTGCTCAGAGAACATGAAGCTTCCTCACTCACCCTTAAAAACACTGGCTTTTAGGCTTGTTTTAACGTTGTAAGGAAAGGGTTTCATCACAAGAAGGAATGAAAGAGTTTCGATATAGAAGCTTATTTTTATTTTTTTTTTTAAATAGAAGTCAAGATTTTCAAGTGCTTGAATTTGTATGTATTCGAATTAAGAAGTCCACTTTGTTGTGCTCTCATGAATGAGCTCTTGCTCTGCCCAGCCATTGGTGAAAACTGTTGTAAGCATCACAATGGGACTTCAGCAATTTAAAATAGCCACAAATACGGCCCGCAGTGTTTATAATACTGTCCAAAATATAAAACTGCAGAGAAACATGATAAAGTTATGTACACGGACATTAACCAAAATGGCAAAATCTAAGCTATGTTTTACTCTTTGAGCAACTGTATGCAGATAATTAAGACTGTCATTTCAGTCACAGTTTTTAATATAAAACTAATTGCAGTCTCTAGGCTGACACATTTTAACAAATAAGAACACCCAATCAGACCATTCCTTGTTTTGTAAGTGAATAGAAACATTTTCAAATTTTACAAGTAATTAGCACCAGCTAATTTGTGCCTTGTGGAATTTATTACTTAAATAGCATTCTTCCAAACAGATGATTAATCATTTTTTTTAGATTTTGTTTATATTGTATTACAAGAAAATTACGTGACACAATTTAGTAATAATATCATTAAACAGTAACAACAGGTCTTGAATCTGCTGTCACACTGTGCCTTCATCATATACAAGAAAACATGCTCATTTCCATTATTTTGTTTTTATTTCCCTACTACCTATTCATCCTCAACGTAAAACACAGCAACAGTTTACACATTGAAAATACAGTTTGCCATCTCCATGAGATTAAAGTATCTAAATCATTATGATGACATCAGGCATAAAACTGACAGAGAAAGCAGTGTATAAAGATACATAAATAGTAAAAACAGACAGTGGAGAGGAAAGAATTAAGGAAAATCATTCACAATGGACCCCTAATTGATAGCTATGCATTTAGCTCTATTAAGTCACTACATTAACGTTGGGTAAATTGCTAGTAATACTGCCATTTGCCACTGGACAATACCTATGTTGTTTTTAGTCTTTCCTCACCCAAGTATAAGACATTCAATTTGATTAACTTTAAAGACACTCAACAGCATGCAGAAAATGTTATTTCCCTTCCAAAAAGGTCATTTATTGGTATGATGTATTGCCTTCTTGTTACGTACAAAAACAATTTTTTGTTTCTTCTTTCTTGGTCTTAGAATATCTTGAAATTAAACAGCATTTGGAGGAGGAATGAGGAAAACAACATAAACACAACACATTGCATTCTTATTTCAGCACTTGTGTGCTCATGTATCTATCTTATAACAAAACAGCAGAACAAATACACAGATTCATAAAAGTGCTGCCTGAAAGCTACTACTGAAAACCATTTTCTTCTCGACAGACTGAGTCACAGGTCAAGAAAATCCGTGCAGCTATGATTGATCTTTTTAAAACACTAAAAATTTTCCAGTCATATGTGAAAGCAATGCTCTGTAACCATACCCATATTCTAGATTAGAGTTATTTTATTCAAAATAGCCCTTACATCATTTAAAAATATATACTTAGCTTTGCAATTGGTCACAAAATATTTTCAAAGACAGATTCATATGATTGCCTCCCAGCTTCTGACTATCGCAGAGGTTAACAGAGGAATCCATGGACATGTAGACTGTATCTCATAAGGAAACAGCAAAAACAAACAAACAAACAAACAAAACCATATATATGTGTGTATATACATACACACACACACATATATATATAGTGGTATCAAACAAACAAGAAAAAAAGAAGGAAGATGAGTGGAGAAGATCATACAACATAGGGAGAGCCAGAGGTCAAACGTAAAGGACCATATCCCAGATGAAGGCACAGTAGAGAGGGAGGGGAAAAAAAAAAAAGAAAAAAAAAAAAAGACGTTCTGAAAACTAATTTTTATGGCTTTCTTTATTTTGGTGACATTGAAAGATTTCTAATATGACAGCTGGGACAACAACTCCCTACAAAACTACAGTTCTGGAATAAGAAAAACCATGATCAGCTCCTGAAAATACACAGAACCCTCTCCTTTTACACATCTTTAGTCTCCTATGAAACAGAACTCAGTCTTAAGATACAGAATGGTACATGAGATACATACATGCAGTAAAAATGTGATATCAAATTAGTTGGAACCTCAGTTCAGTAAAGTGTGTGTTAAATTTTAAGTTCAAAATTATCAACCAATTCAGCCGTTCTTTTCTTCTATCATACCTTCTTTCAAATCCAAGGCTGTTCAGTATGGAAAAATGTTACAATGATTTACCATTATAAAACAAATTAAATATAAAAGCAAATTAATAATAATACTTAGTTATGAATAAAAATGAATAATATTCTTTTGAAATTAATTCACAATATTTGACCTTTTGAAGGGCAAATTTTGAAGGGCTTGCAGTAGAGCTGCTTAAAGCACAAATATAAAATCATTCCATACATGATGAAGAAAAGTTTTTTACCTGAGAGCCTAGAAATTACTGTTCTGCATGACTTCACCTAAACAATGTGAAATTAAGTGCAGTACCACAATCCTTTGGTCTTGCTGTGAATATCCACTCCTATATCCGAGTGCACTAAAACACAGCCTAAACATGAGCTTTTCTGATATTTCATGGCTGAGAGGTAAATAGCATTGTTTGCAAGATTTCTGGTGCTTTTGTGGTTTTCTGTTCGTAGTGCTGGTTTGGGCTTTTTTTGTTTGTTTATAGTTCAGCATCTAAATCACAACATACTTCATAATTTAAAAAAAAAATATTCTACAGGCACAGAAATAATTTCCACAAGCAAGAGCGCTAACAAACGGAAGTGCTTTCTTACAGTAGCTCTCAAATTACATTTCAGTTTCAGCCTCATCCCTGAATCTGCTCATAAATTCATAGCTGGAAAGGCCAGAGGGACTACTGAGATTTAATCTATCCACCTTTGCAACATGGCACAAAGAAACTCACTTCATTATTTCTTCAAGTCTGTAAAACCACGTACTGCTTTTTTTTAACTCCTGGCACAGGAAACATTCTTTGTATGGTTCTGCAGTTCTACTATCACAAAGAAATTACAACCTGAAAATATAAAATAGGCAACCACAATCTCTAAGAAAAAAGTTGTACACTCCAAATACTTTACTGAGAATGCATGAATTAAGTTGGAAATCTTAAAATGAATTTTTAGATTACCATTACTATTTTGGATTTTGCAATTAGAAGTATGCAAATTGTACTTACCCTATTCCTTGAGCTATATGTTCTAGTTGCCGACACATGCAAGTTCTTACTTCATATTCTACATCCTGGCACAGTGATTTTACCAATGGAAGAATCTCTCTTTTAACTCTAAAAACACAAACAATTTTTATAAATATATAGAACAAAAATGTATAGAATCCACTTCACAGCATTCACATTTTATCCATATATGACTTCCAACACTAATTTTATTTTTTTATAATTTATCGTGGGTGGCAAATGATTTTTTGAAAACTTGAAATTGTAAACTATACATCAGACACAAATATATACTAACAGGAAAAGGATTATTTACAATCACTGTAATTTGCTCATATTTCACCTACTGTAGTCTACACTATGGAAATAAGAAGTAGGCTGTCCTCATTTCTAGCTGTCCTCATTCAATAACTATCTTCAGAACAGTTTTTGAACACACTGTAAGAATACCACAAATTATATAAATGGAAGTGCAAATCCTAATTAATCTTGTCCTTTTTTTGAAAGCAGAAAGTACAGAATAAAAGAGAAAGCTAATAAAAGGCTGCTTATTGAGTCAGAAATCATGCTGAAAAATAGGACAGCTCTACTGATTTGGACATGAGCTAATCTTTTCCCACGTATACCAAGGACATTCCAAATCAGCATTCACACAATGCAATGAGTCCACGGATTGGAAACACATTTGGTGAAAATATTTTACTATCATAAGACTGAATAAACCCTTCAAAAATGTGCTGTACCAACCACTTGGGGCAGATAAGAGGTTCAGATTTACTTTCCCTATTTTGCACCACTGTCCAAACCCACAGACACTGAATCTAGGAACTGGATATTACTAGGCAAAAATAGTGGCTCCCAGTGCATCTCCACATGCACAGATTGAAATATATATAAATATATACATATATATCTACATGTGAAATTTGGGAAGACAAGAGGCTAGGAAGAAGAGTTCTGAGGAGGCTTTCTCCTCATGAAAGGTAATTGTGTTTTGTCTCCACAAGTTGCAGAGACATCCACTGTCTTATTTTCTAGCAATAAGAACAATAAACAAGAGTGACATGAAAATGGTACCCACATCAATCTGTGGAAGAACATACAAGCTGCAGTGAACATTTTGTTATTACTTATTACTATCTTGATAAAGAAATCTGTAAGAAAAACACGTGTGATTTTTGCAATAGTTTTCTCTCAGTAACTTTTGTCCACAAACAAATACTGATTCACATTATGGAATGAAGATGTATATGCAATCTACTCACATGTGAGCTTCAAATTTGTTAGTTAATTTTCCCATGATTTTACAACTAACTAAGCGTGACTGAAGTGTTTGAGAAATCTGTGCCTTGGAAACAAGTGGATTCAGGATCTACACAAGGGAAAAAGAAGAAAAGTCACAGGTAAATAATGCATTCCCCTTCCTTAAAAATATATTTAAAAAAATATAGAAAAACATATATACCAGATGTCATCTACTCCTCTCATGAAATTAATTAGTACTAAAAATAATAATGCATTTTTACGTTAATAGTCTACTGAAAACCTGTTTTTATTATTCAGTTAATTATAGCATATTAAACTGATATCTTGGCCCTAATTGCAGTTCACGATTCATATCGCAGCCAGAGTTTTACATCTGTCTACTTGTGTTTTTATTTTGAGACTAAGTTTGTATATGAATATTTATAGCTATTAGCTGTTAATTTTCACAACAGCTGTTAAATATGTCCTGCTAACAACAACAAAAAAGTAGGTAGAGAATGGAAAAGTAATGCTGAGGTTCTTTTTCATGAGTTTTCCTCAGGAAACATCAGCTTTAACGTGAAGCTGTGAAGCAAGAATTTCCCTTGCTTATGCATAACTAAGGAAAGGTTTCATTCCTATGTAGATTCAGAAAACCTCTATGTTTAACTGAAGCTGTGCTGTCATTTGTTGGATCACTTCTATGGTGCCACAAACTAAGATGTGCAGAATTCCACATTAAAATATATTGGTTTTGGCCCAGAAATAACCATGGAAATACAGGCCATGCCAGGGAGAGCATTACAGAGTCTGTAGTCCTGCAGTCTGCCAGAGTTCCTTACTCAGTCTCATGGCATAGCTCCACAAAAATATAACATATACACAGGGCAGCAAGTGCTTTAACAATATTGTTAAAGCATTTCTCTCCTTACTAGCTGAAATTCTCAGGTGAGAAAAGTTAGGTTCACTGGAATACTTCATAAACAAATATTTCATAAGTCATATGGAAAACAGTTTACTACTCATCTGATCTTTGAATATGAAAGCAAACACTACATTAGTAACTCTAACTAGGTTTTGGAGCTGACTGCAACTTCTTTTTACCTTTAGAAGCTTATTTTTCAACAGTCTCAGATTCTAATTACTAATTTTAATGAGTATTTTTAAACCACAGAAATGATCACATATTTACAACTCTATATAGTTCTAAATACAGTAAAATTATCACTGTCTCAAAGCTTTTACCCTTAACAATAAAATACAAATTCTCAAAATAAAACTAAATAAATTAGTTGACTAAAGGGCAAACATGATCTATTTCCTTCCTCTTCCTAAAGATACACAAATGACAAATTAAGTGCTTGTAGGGCATTAGGTTTTTGGTACATCAAGAATAACTGAAGCACACAATGAAATGCATCTCTAGCATTCAGTCCCATTCAGAAGAAATCCAGAATTTCTGTTCACCACACATAATGTAATACTATCCTATAAATCAGAACAGGATACATGAAAATATGTTACTAAAAATGCTAAGTGTAAAGGAAGTGTTACAAAACACACAAACTTTATCCTCTGAAGAATACTAAAACTTTTCAAGGTGATCTTCCTGTATTGCTTCAGCACATTCCCCTCTTGTATGTTCTGTAAGCACTACTGTTTTCACAGGCACAAAACTGCCACAAATCTTACCAGTGTGAATGAGATGGCAGGGAACTACAATCTTTTATTTGCAGTTAGCATAAATGGGGAGAAAATTTTTCACTGAGAGGGTGGTGAGGTGCTGGCACAGGCTGCCCAGAGAAGTTGTGGATGCCATCCTGGAGGTGTTCAGAACCAGGTTGGATGGAGACCCAGGAAGTCTGATCTGGTGCCTGATTTAGCATCTGGCAACCCTGTCTGTGGCAGGGGATTGGAACTAGATGATCTTTAAGGTCTCTTCCATCCCAAAAAATTCAACGATGCTACGATATTATTACCTCATGTCTGATAGTCTCCTTGGGTAAAGCTTCTATTACAGCAAGAAGAGTTTCTAGCCATGCGTTGCTGACACCTGTCAGAAAGAAATGAGCTATACTTCATGCTGTACACACAATGAATATAAGAACACACCCATCAATTTTACAAAATTACTTCTTGAAGAGATGATTGGAAAAGAAAAAAAAAAAAAAAAAGTTTCTGGGGAGACCTCATTGTGACTTTCCAGTATCTAAAGGGGCCAACAGGAAAGCTGCAGAAGGACTGCAGAAGGACGGGACAAGGAGTAACAGTTTTAAAATAAAACTGGGTAGATTTAGATATGTGTGAAAGTGGTGAGGCACTGGAGTAGGTTGCTCAGAGGGATTGCAGATGCCCCATCCCTAGAGATGTTCAAGCCCAGATCAGGTGGGGCTTTGGGCCACCTGGTCTAGTGGAAGTGTCACTGCCCATGGCAGGGGGTTGGAACCAGATGGTATTTAAGGATCCTACCTACCCATGCCATTCCTTGACTCTATGATTAACAAGCAAGATAGCTAAGAAACAAATTCTGTTTGTATTCCTCTGCATTTTTAATTCTTAGAAGGGAAAATAATTATTCTGTTTTGAAAAGAAAATCCTCATTCAAAACATAATCTTTTCTTATAAATCCTTCTAGTTTCATAAAAGGCCTTTTTTCTTTTGAATCCCAAAAATAGTGTCAAAGAAATTAAGAGAAACATAATTATCACAGAAGAAACATCAACCCTTCTCTCACAATTGTCTCCTCCACAGAATTCTGCTACTTAGTAAAAGTTTGGACTCTGTAACAACTTTTAGATTTAGTCTTTCAAGTAAACTGTTTCTGATCATTTCAATCAGTAGCAACAATTACTTTTAAATATCAGTGTGTACATGGTCAGCACGCATAAGTATTTCATTTCATGCAAGTCTAGATACAAAGTTGCTTACTGCTTTACACAGTATTGTACTGTCACTAAGGAAACGAAACACACAAAAGTAATCAGTCACCATAAGCACAGCTACACAGCCCTGACCTGCATCCCTGTGTTCCAAGTTCTGGAGAATGATGTGTAGGAAGGAGTGGGAGTATGTATGAATGGACACCGATTCATCTTGCAGTACAGTTAAAAATGAAACAGCAGCTGTTAACTGCATTTCCACTCCTGCAACGTGCAGCACCTCCTGCATAATTAGAAATTATATCAATTTAGAACACACGGCAGAATGCACTGAAAGAACACTAGAACTGAAAAACATTCATTTTAAGAATCAGTATGCAGGAACCTGAGTAAACTACAAAATTGGCTAAAAATTATTTTCTGTTAACAACAATTACTTGGAGATATTATAATATCTGATACTACAAGAACCTTTTAAGAAAAATAAAGTTAATTAAAATATATTTTCTAACCTTCAATTTCATCAATATATAATAGTGGATTTTTCTACAACATAAACTGAGATGTAAGAACAGACCAGACAACAACCTCACTTCTGCTATTTGTGCATATGAATTATAAGAGATATTTCATTCATCCAGTGAGTAATGCTGACATAACAGAATGTAATTCAAATTTCATTCCTTGCCAGGCAACATGGAACACAAATGACTGTGTGTGCATATATTACACACACACATATACACATGTATACACACATACATACATACACACATACACATACCCACATACATATACGCAGATAATAACACAGAGCAGGATGTACCAGAATATTTATGCAGGTAGCTTGGCACTACTAGCACTCAGCTTTAACATATGAGAAATAAGAAAACTATTGGGTTGTCTTTAAAAGCGTCAGTTCCAAAGTCAAACACAGATAATATGAAAATATTATTAAATTTGCAGAATGAAACAAAAAGCAAATTTAAATTTAACATTTGTTTGCAAAGAGCTCTCAGGATTCATTCTAGGACATAGCATTCGTTGCAAGTATGAAGACATCTATTAGTTTCATGAAAACTCCATCTGTTTACTTCTCTTACTGTATCCTTCTGCCTCACAAGAAAATTAAATGCATTACTCCACTACTACAACATTACAACCATTTCAAGCTCTGTTGCAACTTAAAAGCCTGTATTTTCTATTCAGTACTCTATATAAAGTTTTTTCTCATTTTTAATGTGCTAGAAATAAAGAGCTTTCTCAGGTCACATACTAAAAAATACTGATACCCTTAGCTAAAGGTTCAAGAAAACATCCACTATGCACCTAAGCATTACACAGGTGAATTATGCTGAGAACATACAGCTTGCAGAGATAATCTGAGAAATGATTAGTTGCTTGCTTACTTCAGAGTAGAACAAGAAAGTTTTCATTACACAAATGTCAACCAGTGTGCATGTGCAAATGTACAGCAAATGTGTAACTCATAGTTCATTACTTCTCAACAGCTTTGTTTATTTCTGCAGGAAAAAAAAACAAAAACAACAACAACAAAAAACCCAACAGCCAAACACAAAACACAGCATTGTGGATCATCCTGATCTAAGTATGATAAAATATTTGCATTCAATAACCTTGGGAACCACACTCTTTTCTCCACAAACTCTCTGTCTTTGCTCCTCCATCCACAGCCAAGAATAAGGAACTATGGATTTTGTAATACAAATGTTGCTGAGCATACTATTTTGGTTTCCACTTGTTCAAAAACACTTCCAAAATGATCAAAAGAGCTACATGCATACTGTCGATGATAAGACTTCACTGCACATATATAACCAGATTATACAAATACTATTTGTAGGGTTTAAAGCTAAAGGAGCACTCCGATTTAGACCTTTTATATTAAAGGAGCCATTATATTTCACTCTTCTCCCTCTGCCTCGAGACCACTAACTTAAGATTCATTTCATTTACCATCTAGAAAGGCATTCAGTTTAATTTTAAGACACTGCATGATGAAAAACACATTGCTTTTCACAGTTAGTTGATTAAAGATTGATTATAGTTATTATTAACAATGACTCCTTCATTCACCATTTTTCTGTCTTCGGTTTCTAAATCTAATTTCTTCACACAGTGCTCTCAATAAAGTGTCCTTTATGGAGGAAGGTACTTTTTAAAAGTAATTAAGTACCTCCTGATCTGTATGCACTAAGATCTAATTCCCAGCATGCTGTTAGATATTCTCCAGGCCTGATCATACTAATGACCATATTTGGATTTTTTTCCTCCATTCTTATATAGAAAACTATGAACTGAAAACTGTATTTCCATAATAGATATTTTATTAAAGAAAGAGGCAAAGACTACCATGCTTCCACATTGTCATTTTCTGTTCATATATGCAAGAACTATTTTGTTGCAGATTTGAACCAGAATTTTCATTTTCAACAGCTTTTTTTTTTTAATCTCAACACTTATATTATTATTTTTCCTTTATATAAATGCATAAAAACAACAGTTTATTAACACTAAAGAAGCATAGCCTGAAAATGTCCTTGATGGAAAAACGCAATATCTGACACAGTAAAAACAATAACACGCACTTTCTTCTGTTTCTTGTTACTGAAACTGTTCGTAATATTATGAACACAGGGCTTTGAAAACAATATCTACAAGCAATCCATGTGATTTTCTATCTATTTTCCCCACATAGAGTGCACACATTCACCCAAATAGCTTCACACAAGCACATTGGTCTTTTGGCTGACAATCTACATAAATTAGAAACAGGCTTAAATCAAAATGGTCAGTTGTGTGAGACCTGGACAGAGACTGCTCTAAAACAGAATGTTAACAGTACAAGTAGAAGACTGACAATATCCTGACAAAAGGAAAAGGATAAAGATAAATCAGCAATTTGCTGTTATCAAAATAAACTTTCAGATATTTTGATAGCCAAAAGTAATATACAGTCTTAGAATCACTGAAAAACACTAAAAAACACGCTAACATATTCAAAGTCTTAACTGCTAACACTGCCTTGTATAGCTATATATAGCAAATAGGAATTAACATCTGCTTCAGTAATGCAGTCTCATTTGATTGAAGCTGCTCCTAAAACCACATCTTAAATGCACTTTTTCATGTCTTCCATGCTACAGTAGAGACAGAGGAGAAACAGAGATCATTTTTTTCTTAAAATATGCCTTATACAAATAAATAGGTGTACGGAATTACTGTTTAACATTATATGGACAGCATGCATTTACCACAGTCAGCAGTAGCTTACTAAAAATGGGGAGAGCAGCACATGAATCTTAGGGCAACTAAAAGCAAAGCATACTTTTCTGGATAGCAGGATGTTGGATGGAATGAGGTTGAGAACATAAAGTTGAACCAGTGCAACTGGCTGGGCCTCAGAAAGAGCTCTCAAAAAGCTGTCAAAGCATTGATAAATCCTCAGAACACATAAACAGTATTACTTCTGCTTTCTTTTCCTGTACTAACACTTTTCAAAACAGATACTACTATCTGCAATACTACTTAAGTTCAGTCAATTAATAGGGAAGATCTGATAGGCACAGCTCTCCGAGCAAGTTTGCAATATAAGTACTAAGGACTTTTTTTTTTTTTGCCTCTTTGAAGTACTGTTGGAAAAAGATACATTCAAGCCTCATTACACACAAACTTACTCGGATTTTTGGTAAAACTCGACGGAGTGTTTCTGCAGGATTCTGTCGCATCAGGACTGGAAGATTTGCCACCACGCTTGTTCCTTGGACATCCTGGCCAGAACTTACAAAAATACGTATACAGATTACTTTCTAAGACTATTGCAAGCTCACAACTTCTATTTAAAAAGAGAAAACAGCCCTCTGCCACCCTCCTTAGGTTATTCATATAATACATCAATTATTTTCAAGCATTATCTTTTTTAGATAAATAGTAGAAAACAGCACTAAAAGCATCTCAATCACAAAAGCTGTAATGTATAATTTCTAATATGGAATGTAATAATTTTTAGCGTAGCCTTGGAAAAAAAAAGCATACAAAAAACTTGAAGATGTTTTTTTTAAAACTGGATGTCCGAGGCAGTGATTTTATGGAAGCTTCTCTTTTATACAGGTGACAAAGCATATGAAGAAAGAAGATACATGTTGTAACAGAAACCTACCCCTTTTGCATTTTTAAGGGAAATCAGATGTATGTTATCAAACTTGATTAAAGAAGCATGCAAAAGCTTGACTAGATTACAGATCTTTTACATTTTTCCTTAACCTATGTCTCTGAATGGTATCCCATAGTTTAAAGAGGAACAAAAAGAGGAAAAATGAGATAAGAAAACAAACAACAACAACATAAGGCAGATGGGAAGGAAACGGTAGGTAATGGTAGGTATAGGTATCAATGAAGAAAATGCACAAGATGAGAACAAAAACTACTCAAGCTGATAAATTTCCAAAATGGAATCCAAAAGAAACATGTTCAAATATAACTGGATGCCAAAATTAACAATAAAACTTAATATCAGTACATCCTTTCCCCTGCTTCAAGGGATAAAATCTGTTTTTCTAAACAAATTCAAATTTGTTCCAGCAGCTAAGAAGCTCTATTTTAAATATGCACACTACGCTCAACCATGCACACGTGAGCATTTTTCTTACAATGTAACATTACAATTAAGTGTACAATACAATTATATGTACATTTTTAAAAAGGAAGTCATAGTAAAGCTTCTTAAGAATATTTCTATATTCTTAGTATAGTACTCCCATCTGATAGTCGTTGCAGTTGTCTTACTTGAACACATGAGCTTATCACTAGGTCTAAGCACACCAATTCATCACAATAAAGTAGATTCACACAATAACCTTTTAGAGCTAAAAATTTAAAAATGGTTTTACACGTTGCACTAATGCTAAATAATCCTGAACATTTATATATTTCAAAAAACTGAGGGGAAATGACAGTTATTTATAGATACATTCAAGAAGGCCGATTTAAATCTGTTTTCTTTAGTGCATACAAACACGCTTTAAAAAAACAAGGATGTTTGTATAACAAGCAAGAAGCAAATATAAAAGCTCTGCCTAAAATCAATCCAGACTAGCATACCCTAACAGAAGTATTTTATTCTCATTCAATCTCTGCAAGCTGGAAAGTAACATACACAACAGGCCCACTTCTGTGCTCAGTTACCGTCCTGCAGACAGGAGTAACTATTGAACTCATCAACTCATCAACTGCAAACCATCACTGTGCGTAAGGAACCTAACCTTTGAAAACCTCGGCCCCCATAAAGACTTTCTATTCCAGATAGTGGGAATCATGCTATTATGCTATTGTCTTTAGGTCTTTTTTTTTTTTTTTTTTTTTTTTAAATGAAGTCTGTAAGTTAAAAACTTATGATGAAATCATGCAAACTTCAGATTGTGGGTGTCTACCCCTAGGACAATTTTTCTGTGAAGTCTGTGACCACGTATGTTACCACAAAATATTAAGAACCATGTGAACCATGTTTGTCAACAGAAATTCAAAAACGTTCCCTTCTGGTAAATCCACCTATTTCACATTTTTATACATAATTCATCCCTCTTAGTTTATCAGAGAGAATGTGTTCAGAAGAAAAGCTAACAAAGTTAAGGTCAGCAGATTCTGAGTTCCATGCCACTGATTTATCATGTGGTCTTAAAACCACCTTAACTCCAATACCTCAGTCTTGACCAGTTTCTCTTCCTTCGCTTTCCATTTTCTTCACAGCAGTAGTAGTCAATTTAAAATATCGTTTTCTACAACTTAGTATCATGTGAAGTTCCTCACTCTTCTCAACTATCATAAAGTTTTAGTAAAATATTTAAGAGATACACTTAAATCCACAATTCCAGAACCCAGTCACAAAACTTTAATAAACAAAGTTCAATTGCTTGCAAATAGGACTAACTTCAGGTACATAATTTCAAGGTTCACATTTCACAGAGAACAAAAACAACTAACATTTCCTATATTTCTGGATATAGGTTGTTTCCCTCTTTCAATGTACCTCTTTTTGCTGTTGCTGCTGTTGTTTATAAATATCTATTCTGAAGATATCTATATCTATCTGAATATCTATTCTGATATCTATAAGTACCTATTCTAACTGAAAAAAAAAGTTATCAGCAGTTTCATTATTTTTTAATCTTCTGTTAAGACTACTATTGATTAATCAAAATTAAGCTAAGGGGTAAGGGGGTTTCCTTGAAAAAGTCCAAGGAGCCAGTTTTATGGCTTTTTTTTTTTAAGTGTTGTCTGTAAACACAAAATGGTTGACAAATTCGGTCAGAGCAAAGTTAAAACAAAACCCTTATTAGCACCATTCAAAATCATTGATAATGAATAAAAGTACAGATTTTCAGATTGATTATAATATTAGCATACCTACAATTTTATTAGGAAACATGTGCAAGGTCTCTCAATAGAAACATGTTTCTCGGTATCATCTAAACTCAGTGATAGAACAGTGTTGTGTCAGCCACTGAAAAGGGATTTAAATTAATAAATAATCTTTTCACAGCTTTCACTATTTTTGCATTATTCAAAATTTTGTTATTAAATACTTTAATTAAATGAATATTAAAGCCTTTCATATGCATGGCAGATTTCTCTGTATACTACACACTAATTCCAGCTAAGTTTTAAAGCAAAATTGGGACATCTAGGGCCCCCAGAGTGGAAAAGGGTCATGGGAGAGGAGGCCCACATCTTTCACTGCAGCTCGCAGTCTCAGCAAGGAAAAGATGCATACCTTTATATTATCCAGTAATAATATAAAAGGTCAAGATAACTTGATAATTTTCTGAATGTTTCATTCAGTCTGTATCAAGGTAGAAGAAAATCCTAACCACTAAAAAAATACAACCAGTTTCATCAGTCAGAAATACAAAGAAAAGGGCAGTGTTCCCCTTTAAAACAGAAATGCTGAGCACTTGGTCTGCTGCCAATTAACAATGTGAAGCAGGAGGCATTTCAACACCTACACAGCCTGTAATTTTCCAACTGTGGAAGATTTTTCTTCTATTCCTACCAAAAAAGCTGCACCATAGATTCCTTCTCCTTTAAGTGTTAAAGCATTTAGGATTAAAGAACTATTGCTAAACATTCAGATAAAGACATTTTTTCTAATAATAAATACTAAACAGTTATTCTCTTCAGTCAAATGCTATTATGCGGGTGCTACTCCTTTATTAACTGTGCTAATTATAGAACATTAACAGAGCCCTGTACTTAGTAGCAATTTAGCTCAATCTTTTTTGTGCAAGGAAAAACCTTACAGATAATACAATTTAAATATGAAACTTCAGGAGTCATCTTCTGAGCTCATCCTACAGGAGGTCCCAGTGACTGTACAATGCTGGGAATTGTCATCCTGGGATGAAAACTCTCACACTTGAACACTCCCATTCTACGTCTCACTATCTCTGCAATGCCAGCTGACCACTGCAAGCCAGCAATATAAGAGCAACTCAACAAGGTTCATTAAAAACCTGGTATTTCTCAAGGGAAAAAGTAGCAGTGGCCCATCTCCCCTCAGCTCCTCCACTCATTCTTCCTTGTTTTTCTCCACCTACTTGCATATGATGATGTTTACATCATCACCTTACAATTGGAGACCACTTTACAATTGGAATAAAATCCACTTAGAAATCCATTTTCAAACATACAAGGGACAAAAAGATGATTGAGAGAACCAACATGGCTTCATGAAAGGGAAATCATGCCTGACCAACCTGACAGCTTCTACAACGAGACAACTGGCCCAGATGTTGGATGTTATTTTAGCAAAACTTTTGACACCTGCTCTCATGGACATATTCATGGACAAACTGAGAGAAGTACAAGCAAGATAAATGTAAAATGCTGCAGGCTGAAAACTGGATGAACTGTTGACCTGGCAAAGCAGTCAGCTGGAAGCCGGTCAGTGAAGGCTTACCCTGGGGGTACATGCTAGAGGCATTACTGGTTAGCATTTTTAGTAATGACCTGGATGATGCCACTGTGTGCACCCTCAGTTAGTATGCAGATGATATAAAACCAGGAGTGGCCAATATCCTGGAGAAACAGACCAACAAGGATCTCACAGAGTTCGACACTAGGAAAAGCAAGTCCCGCAACTATGTAGGAACAACTCCATGACCAGTTCAGGCTAGGTCCTAGGCCTAGGAAGGACCCTGATGTCTGATGGATGCCACATTGATCACGACCCAGTAACTACACTTGTGGCAAAGAAAGCTTCAGCATCCTGGATGTATTATAAAGAACATTACCAACAGGCCAAGGGAAAAGATAATTGCTCTGAGTCTCATAGACAGACCGGAGCTGGTCCAGTGAAGGTCCACTAAAACAATTCAGAGATTACAGCATTTTATTGTTCTCAGTAGTAAGTTCTCAGCCTAGTGACAGGACAAAAGGCAATGGGCCTGAAATACAGAAAAATCCACTTCAACCTTAATACTAAAACATATATTTAAAAAAAAAGGCCTTTAACATCAGAGTTCTTTAAACACTGGAATGAGTTGCCAGGGCATACGGTGGAGTCTATCCTTAGATATGTTCAAACCCGGAGGTCGTGACAATACCTTGAAAATATTACCCTAGTTCACCCTGCTTTGAGCTCCCCAAAGCTCTCTTCCAATCACGGAGAAAGGGCCTATGATTCTATTGATTCTACGACTATATACAGGTTACTTTTTTCCATCCATACAAGCAAATTTTCAGATTAGCTCCCAGCCAACAATAAGATTTCTTATCTTTCAAGT